GTAATTTTATTTTTTAAACTCAATTTATTTTATTTTATGAAGGGTCCAGTGAAATAATATTTTCAGGAGATAAAAAATAAACTAAATAATTTTAGTACTAATATTGGTACTAAATGTTAGGCATTTTTATTTTACGATATTAGATTTCTAGTGTAGGATGGATAAGCTCAGCGATCGCATCAATCTGCTGAAAAAATGATTCGTTCTCAGAAAATATTAAAAAGGGAATTTATAAAAAAAAAAAGTAGAAATAACTAGTTATTGCTCATGACCCTTCAATTGTACTTGAATAAAGTAATTTCCAATTGAATGTTGTATATTTTTACGCATTGGTATAACATGCAAACAGTGTCTAAAATAATTTTACTAGAAACTTGAAGAATCTTATAGAAGCTAATAATTCATACAAAACCGTTCTGAAAATGTCTTCTTTGGATATTGCTTCAATTGGTCTCTTGATCCTAAATCTCACCAATTGGTCAAAACTTTGTTTATTTATCGTGACTTTTATCCAATAATAGAACCATTAGAATGGCGTCTAAAAATATTTTAGATATGAAAGTATCATTCTTATGAATGATTAATTTAGAAAGGTAAAATCAGCTTGAACATGTTATACATAATATGAACTGTAAAAATAGAAACTGCTAACACTTGAAAATTTATTTTAGCCTTTATAGCAATTGAGTTGTTTTAATCATACAGGTTCTATTTCAAATTATGTTACTACCAATCGCATCTAAATGATAATTGCCCTTCGCCGAAGTCGGTTAATGCTTTTAGAACTCAATTTGTACTTAAAATAAATATAGGTTTTCTACTTATGTATTCTTTATTTTCTTGATTGTAATACTTCACATATTTTATTATTCAACCAATAATCGCGTTTTATTTTAAATCGCTTTTTCAAAAAATTTATAAATTATAGTTGCAATCAAAAAAATTTCTTTTTGTGAAAACCTAGTCGGGATATAAATTTATACACATTTTTTTTATGACCCGAATTCGATTTGCAGACAACGGGCACGTTCTTGAATTTTAATTTGAAAAAAAAACTTTCTCTTTTTATCTTAAAAAAAAATGATTGACTTCAAATGTTTTAACACTTATTACTACAGGATGAAATAAAAAATATATAATTAAGTATTGTTGTAGCATTTTCCCTTGTATAAGTTTAATACGTAAATTTTAAACTAATAAAAAAATTAAAACTACCGGAGGCATTACAATTCAGGTCCATTGCACACTTGCTCATATGCATTAACTCACATTAACTATAATCGATCCGATCATACATAGGCTTATGTGTTTCCACTTCCACGATGGGCGTATGTGATACTAATCACTAACGGTACCGCTTTTGATGTACCACTTTTTTTAGGTCTTGTAACTCGTACAAATTTTTATTTCATATATTATACAGCGAAATGACAGATAAATGTTCTTGTTATAATTTGTTGAAGATTTTTGCAAAAAAAAAAAAAAAAAAACAGAAATTTATTATGAATTATAGTAAATTTCAAACGTGTTTTGAATTACTGGTGGCTGAACTTAGTTATGTGTTATATTAATAACAGCCTTTATATAAATAAAACACTAATGGTTTAAAAGTTGCAATAATAATCAATGTGGCAAACTCTTCTGCTTTAGCAGTTAATAAAATTATTGTCTATTTTGTAATAAATATACATATATTCAAAAAACACAAATAATTTTTAATTTTTTCAATACTTTTTAATCATTATTATTATGTTCAAAGTCTTTAATAAATTTTAACTTGATGAAATCACATAAGTACATTACTTGAAATAGAATAACGACACATTAATTTACCTTATCTCGTCTTAGAACTTATAAAATATTTATTACAAAAATTATAATTTTCACTATTTATGTAATTAATTTTAATTTTACCTATATTTTTTTTTTTTTTTTTAATCGTACATATTTGGGAAGTTTAATCATTTTATTAATAGTATGTTTTGCTTTGAATAATATTTTTCGTTATTATTGTTTAAAGTGTACTAAAAGTATATAATGATTTGCTGCATTGCCACGATGGCCTACATTGTCACATTTAGTAAATAGGTTATTTGTTCTGTATAAAAAAAGGTTTATTTTGTAAATAACAGAAGTTCACTATAAAATCGTAAAACGCTTTCTTGAGTAAATTAATAATTTAAAATCATTGAATAATATTTATTCAGTGGATCTCTTTAAATTTCAAATTATATTTTTCGAATAAGTTGTAAATATTAATCACACAATGAAAGACATTAATAAATACTAGTTTTGAATAATTTGTACAAAATATATATTTTTTTAATTATTAACATTTCCATTAGTATATTACTATTCGTTTGTTTAATTTCTATTTCGAATTCCTAAAATATGTCTACACTCTTTTACGTTATTCCATTTGCAGTCATTTAGTTTGGGTATGTCGCCAACGAAATAGAATATATATTTATAATACAGAGAACAGGCGTAACGCCTTGTAATGTGGACGATAGTGACGTTCGTTTGCGGGCCACATGAGTGTCAAATAATTATTTTGTTCGATGGTTATTAAATCGATTACCCAATAAATGTGATTGAGATAATTATTTTAATATAATACTAATGCAGTAACGTGTAATGCAATCCCGGCAGCCGTGTGTGTGCATGTGCCGTCATAACCGCAGATTGTGTAGAGGAGAAATAGTAGAAATACCGTTACCGGTACCAATCGATCGCGGCGTGCACACGACTGCGACGTTGCCGGGTTGCGCATAAACACGCGAGTCCGCGACTGTTCAAAAATTTCCAAGAGTACCCAAGCGCACTGCCCAAACACTATATAGCCGCTCGCGCCGGGCGGTTTATGGGTTGGCCCCCGGGGACGGAGGCGGCATCGGCAGTGGCGGACCTTACCATGAGGAGAGGAATTTAGGGGGGGATGACACTCGCTCGAACTCGGGGCCACTTAATATCGTGCCATTTTCAATTCCGTCGACTTGAGATTCTTCCTCTCCTTTTACATCCTTATTATCATAACCACATACCCCTCGCCGCGTTCGGTTTCCTCGCACCTATCCTACATCACACGATCCGACGGTATTTTTTTTACAAATTCGACTAGGTGACGATCTGTTTTGTCTAAAACATAAGATGAAATTGCCATCGACAACATACAATTAAGCTAAAGACCGAAATAACGAAAATGTTGATACCAATCTACTGAATTTTTCTAACTTGAACTAATCACTGCAACGGCCTACCTATGAATATCACTGTAGTCGCCGATACTTGTTGATTACCGATTTTTCCAAGGTCGCGTTTCAACCGGTAAATCTTACAGATATTGTACGACGAAAATCATTTTCGTCTAACAATAAACGTGATGCGACAAGATCCAAGTTGCCTTGAAAATGAAAAAATATCAAACAGAATATTAATTATTTAATTATTAATTACTAATCAAAATATAAATTATAAATTACTAAAAGAAAAAATGTTTGATCGCACGATCAAAGTCCGGTTTTGTGATACGAGGACCACGAATGTGCGGTACCAATATCAGTATAAATAAATGAGCCGTTATTAACTTTTTGTTTTGATTATCTACTCGTTATTTATTGATAATTGGTCGTATTCTGTTTGCACCTTACCACCACCACCACCTGCACGGTGGTATTAAACAGTGTTTAATATGCACTGAGAAGTTTTTTGGCACCGCTTAAGATTAGATGAACAGATAATGTTAATAAAAAAATAAAATGTAGTTGTCTAAAAAAACTACACGATTATCAAAACTTTTTTTTTTATTCTTTACTAGATATTTGTCTATTGATGTGGTTCATTGCACTCCCTAGTGGACGCTCTGTACCCCACGTGACGACTACCCAGAATACTAACCTTATGTATTTGGCGATTACATAGATGAAATAGTGCACCTCATAGCAGCAGTTAATGCCGCTGTTCATTGCCACATTGTGACATTTTGTATTCGTTTTGCATGATAAACTTTCTCTCGTTTCCGAGTATGGTCATCGTTTGCTCATCATTATACACTAAAATCTTATTTTTAACTACCAATATTTTTTTTTATTAGTTCAGTGAAAGTTAAAAGAAACGAATTGGGGAGGCGTAATTCATTTTTTTAAACATATTTAGAAATAATATATCTAATATCTTCCGTTAAACGTCGATTCTATTATTAAATATTACATCATTATTATATTGTACTCGTCTCCTACATGAACACATATAGTAATCAACGTTTTCAAATAAATATTTTAATGTCTTAAATGATTCACAATGTTGTTTTGAGTTTTTGTTATTTTTTAACATACTTAATGTCCACTGATAAAATTGTTGTTTTTCTAAGATGAACTAATATAATCGTTTCTTATGGTTCTGACGAATCAAAAATTATATCTAAATACTTACATAATTTTATGATAATAAAATACTTGGTTAACGTGTACAAAACGATTTCCAACTTAATTATTATTGATAACATACCTATGGAGATTAAAAATTTCAACTTTCACTTTTAATAAGTTAAAGCTATCAGTTGGTCATTTTTTGTAAAATTATTTATTATTCTCCAAAAACTATTTATTCAATTTTTTGAAAATAAAAATAGTTTTCATCGCAAACCCAGTGCACTGAATAATTTTCAACATTACTGATAAAATATAACAGACACTAAATGACCTATTGAGATTTTGAGAAAACCACGACCTGTAGTAGGCACTTTTTTAGTCATCCACATTTTAATTAATAAGTGCGCCCCTTGGAGTTAAATGATCCGCTATACTCCTTTAATGTTTCATTATATTTTTGCACCTTTAATGTTTAATGGTATCATTTGGGTTAGTAAACCTCCGTCTATAAAGAATATATTTCCCTCAAGATAACAACCCTACGACTTTGCATTGTTATTAAATAATCAAGTTGATTTTACTGTTTTAAAAATTACTATGACTATTTTTACTTTATTTAATGTTTTACAGGAACTGGTGAATCAGGGAAATCTACATTCATCAAACAAATGCGGATTATCCACGGCTCTGGTTACTCCGACGAAGACAAACGAGGGTTCATCAAACTAGTATACCAAAATATTTTCATGGCCATGCAAAGTATGATCAGGGCCATGGATATGCTCAAAATACATTATTCTGATCCAACTTGTTCTGTAAGTATTGTACCTTCTTTGGTCTATTATGAACTAATATTAAAATATTTTCTATCAAAAATGACACAATATTTGACAATCATCGTAAATATTTTTTTAAGTTAAAAAAAAAACTAAATTATATTAATAATTTTAGTAGTTTAATAAAAATTATTAAACATAAATATTGCCCATACAGTATATAGATTTTACTGTTGGAACAATATAATTTTTTCTTCCCTAAACATTTATTTAAAGAATAGTCGCAAGCAAAACAAAAATATTTTTAACTAAACAAAATGCTACTTATTCGCCCATGCTTATCTTAATTTCAATTATTTTTCGAATAAATATATAAAATACGCATTAGTTTGTGATACCAGTCAAGAAAAATTTGCATGATTGAAAATGTGAAAACGACTTGTTTTATTTTTAAACTTAATTAATCCAAATCAGAATTGTTCTTAGCTTATGCTACTTTATTCAGTAGTGATTATAAGGGTAGAGGGGATTCAGATTCTTCAGACAGTGTTATTTATATATTATATAATTTATAAGGTAATAATCTGAAACATATTTCAAGTACATACATACTCTTTGGACCCCTTCCAGAAAACTTTTGAAAATACGCCACTGACTTCATCAAATGTTATATATTATTTCATTAAATATTTAGACAAATAAAATGTCATTATATTGAACATTTACTTTCTGAAAATTTTTTATAAAAAAAGTTTTCCCATTGAATCCAAATTTTAAATGCCGTTACAAAAATATTAACTGTCCAAATGCTTAACGTATATTTTATAATGACCATATTCAACATACACGTGGATTTACTGATGTTACTGAACCCAATTATTATTGGGATAATTATTTATTTAATCTATGAAAAGAAATGTGTAAATAATTTTTGGGAAAAAAACTAACTAAAAAAGCTAAAAAGTATCCAGTATTATTACTATGTATCCAGAAATGTTAAAAAACTAAAAAATGATCAATGTACTGATTGAATTCAGGGTAAACTATTTCATCTTAAATAATTATTTTATTATACAGGAACGTGCGGAGCTCATAAAAAGTGTAGATTTTGAAACAGTAACGACTTTTGAAAGTCCATATGTTGAAGCGATTAAAGCACTCTGGGCAGACTCGGGTATTCAAGAGTGCTACGACCGAAGACGTGAATATCAGCTCACCGATTCTGCTAAATAGTAAGCATTTAAATTCATTGGTTATAGGTATTACTTTACCTATAACCAGATCTCATATAATATACCTAAACATAACCTGTAACAAAATAAAAACTTAACTAGTGTAATAACAAAATAATTTTTGAAATTTTCTGAATTTATTACTATAAGATACAGTGTATATTTTACACTTTAAAAATGCTTTATTGAAAATTATTTTTTATTTTTTACAGGTTCATTTATTTTTACAATTTCAATAAGTTTACAGACCTCTTATTCGGATTATTAACAAGAAAGTATTATTTCATTTTTCATCTTTTCAACTTCAATATTGATATCTAAAATTTTATTTAAACATTAAGTTTTTTTTTAAATATTTCATACATTGAAATTTGTGAAATCCGAATTAGAGGCATTTAATAGTGTAAACACTGTTGTAAACTGGGTATTTTTTTTCTTTAATATATATTTAAAATCATATATAATTCACGTTTACAGTTATTTAATGGAAATAGACAGAGTGGCCAGTCCAAATTATCTGCCCACTGAACAAGATATACTTAGAGTAAGGGTTCCCACCACCGGTATAATTGAATACCCATTTGATCTTGAAGAAATTCGGTTTAGGTAAAAAATGTTTATATTCCTGTTTAATGTGCATGGGTTATAACTAACATTGAACATATTTATGCATGGAAGTTTGTTTGTGATTTATAAGCTAAAATTATTTTAAAAATTACAACTTGTCAGGAAAATTTTTTATCTTTAAACTACTATTTATTTTACTAACTATTTTTTTTTTTATTAATTTTTTAAAATCTAATTTATTATAAATGTGTTATTTTATAAGCTGTATGCTCTATAAATTTACTTTCATTTTTAATTTGTGGACATTATTTAACCATGAAATCATGAAACCTTTAAATATTCTTCTTCTTCCTCGCCTTAATTCAAACTACTTGGGGTCAGCCATGAGACCTTTAAATATTGATGTACAAAAAAACTAAATATTTTTATGAAAAACTTATTTTGTACAGTTACCTAAGCGATTTAGCGAGAATTGAAGCGTCTGATTATTTACCTACTGAACAAGATATTCTTCGTGCTAGGGCTCCAACTACAGGCATTATTGAATACCCTTTTGATCTTGATGGTATTGTTTTCAGGTAGCCTTGCAATAATAGGACATTTTTTCAATACTTCATATTATAGCAAAAACCCTTAAGTATCTTGAACCTAGTAACCTATTAACCTAATTAATAGTAACCTATTAAATAAAGGGTCCAATGCAATAACCAATTATTAGTATTTTTTTTTTTTTTTTAAATAACACTTCAATATTTTTTGAGAATGAATGATTTTTTTTTTTTCAGAAAATTGATGTAATTGCTAAGCTTACCCATCCATTAGAAAAGCTAATATCATAAAATAAAAATACCTAATAATCAGAGATTAGTACCATAATTATTTAGTTTTTTTTATCTTCTGAACAGTTTTAAAAAATGAAGATATCAGGTTATTGGACTAGACCGTTAAATTGAATCACTATTGACAAAATTAGAAAAATAATCTGTCCTAAATTCCTAAACATATTTTTTATTTTATAATTAATTGAATAAAACATAATTAATTCAATTTATCATGTATTTAATCATTTTTAGAGAGTGCAAAGTTTTATTTTGATTTTGCTTTTGCTTTATATTTATATTAATAAATAGATAACATTAATTATGTTAAATAATTTTAGAATTTTTTTTTTTTCTAAACGCTTTTTTTTAACTTATATTAACCTATTTATTTGCAAACTCTATTATCATTATGTTCTTTATTAAGCTTTTGTAGTACTGTCACATAAATATTTAAGTAAAACATGAATGCTGAAAATATTTTATTATGTAAAATATACTCCTTTAATTTTCAATATTTTAGAATGGTTGATGTTGGAGGACAGAGGTCAGAAAGAAGAAAATGGATCCATTGTTTTGAAAATGTGACATCCATTATCTTTCTTGTAGCACTTAGTGAATATGATCAGATTCTTTTTGAATCCGAAAACGAAGTATGTTACTTCATATCATTTTATTTTTAATTTATATTATTTTAGTATTATAAGTAATTATTATAATCTAGTTTCTTACTATATCCTACACTGTTTTTAGAATCGGATGGAAGAATCAAAAGCATTATTCAAAACTATCATAACATATCCTTGGTTCCAGCATTCATCTGTAATATTGTTTTTGAACAAAAAGGACCTTCTTGAAGAGAAAATTATGTATTCTCATCTAGTTGATTATTTTCCTGACTTTGAGGGTAAGCTTTAATAATATATTTTTTTGTTGATTAATATTTATGATTTATCTTGATAAACTTAAAATAAATTGCTCTTCATTTTAAATAAAATTATATATCGGTCTTAGGACCCAAGCAAGATAATGGAGCAGCACAACAGTATATATTAAATATGTACTTAAAAACTAATCCAGACCCTGATCGCATGTGTTATTCACATTTTACAGTTGCTACAGGTTAATTTTACTATGAAATCCATTTATACCTCCTTAAAAATTACCTAACCTGTGCCTATTTGATATCCATTTTCAAATTAATATTGTAATACTAAATTTTGTGTAGAAATCATGTATTTTTAGTTTAAAAAAATCAGTATTTAAATTTTGTAGAGTTAGTACCATACTTTTTAAAGAATATTTTTACAATTATATATTATTATTCCTAAAAATTTGTATTATAACATAAATTGTTATTATCAATTATTTTTTACCATTTTATAATTATTAGATTACAATTTTTCCGAAAAAGTACCTACCCTCCTTAATATATTTGACACAATTAAGGGTCAAAACACTTGAAATAATAAATAATAACATCATATATTAACAAACCAATTTGATTTCAGGATGATTTAATATAATACTTTTATAAATTAAACTATTCTAACCTTATAAATATCTATTATAATAGGTCCTCAAAGGGACGCAATTAGTGCAAGAGAATTTATTCTAAGGATGTTTGTGGATTTAAATCCTGATAGTGAGAAAATAATTTATTCACATTTTACATGTGCCACAGGTATTTAATAAAATTCATATTATGCAAGTTGCTTGCGAGTGTTTATTTTGTTAATTGCATGTTAATTATTAAAAATCATCAAAAAATTTTACCAATCATATAAAATTACTAATTTTTACCATAAAAAAAAAACATTAAACTGATTTAAAATTTGTATTGTGTTTGGGTAACAGTTATTTTTAATTTCTATTACAAATCTCAAATTATATTTTTCTTTAATATTAATGTTTTAATTATATTAATAATATTACAAGTGATATCTAAAAAATGTATTATCATAATATATTGATATTACTATATCAATATAAATAGTGTTGTATCACAATTTAAAATTATAAATAAATTATTATTAAATTATAAAACTAATAATAATAATAATACAAAAATAATAAAAATTTATTATATTAATAATTTTTTATGATATTTTTTAATTAAAAATGTATCATTTGTTTCTGTGAAGTTATTAACTAAAACTACTTGTAAGTAGGGCACAAGTATATACAGTATCCCAATGCAAAAATCACTATTTTTCCATTTCAGTTAAAATATAAAAAATTGAATGCTTAATTTTTCCTTGTTTATACATACTTATGTATTTATGAAGATTTGAAATCAATAACGTGCTATGTATCATAAAATTATTTTTAGAAATTCATTTTTTAAAATTCTAAAAAATATGTAAAACTCTTAAATAGATTATACTGAAAGCTGCTCATGAAAAAATTTACATTTGTCCCCTTTCCGTTTTATTAATCTATGTATATATATGTATCTCCTTTATTTCGCCTCTTTCCACTCTTAGCGCCTTAACTCCTTTTATATATTATTGGAGTTGGTCCTAAAACATTTTTCTACTACTAATGTTTTAAATTTTTGGTATATAGACTGTTATTGATTTAAAATCTTCATTTAATCATTGATTAAATAATTAAATGAAAGTTTTGTTTTATAATAAAAAAAGATAAAAAGTACTATTGACTAAAATTTTGTTAAATTTTTTACACAAAAACATCAATATTCTGGAAAGTCAGAATTGTGGTTCTTTATATTTAAAGTCTCTAATGTAGTCACATTCTTCTATTTACACTTATTAATATTTTATAATAAATATATGTTTTATTTTATTAAATAAAATGAGACTAAATTATTGTAGGTTAATAATATGTATGCTAGATCAATAAATATGTATAACAAATTATACTTCAACGCTTTAAATATTTACTAGTTATAACAAAAATGTTTTATACTCAATATATAAGATTTATACTAATAAATGTGTTTATTGTTAATTTAAAACAATTTGATGTTTCAAAACAATTATTTCAAGTGTATTATCAAACTAGTGTATGAACAATTTACTGGAAATTATGAGTTAGTTTTTCTTATTTTGTTTATTTTATTAGTTATTTATTCCTGTTTGTAAAATTAATTAAACCTTAAGAAGTTGTAATTTTTAGATTCCTTCTCATATTTTTTTTTATCAATTTTTTCCTAATCTAGAAAAAGTCAAACTATTAAATCTTCATTCTTTTTAAATTACTTTTTTACTTATTGTTTGTTTTATATTTTGCATGCTGCATGCTTCTTCAGACACGGAAAACATTAAACTTGTGTTTTGTGCAGTCAAAGATACAATAATGCAAAGTGCTTTAAAAGAATTCAACTTGGCTTAATTTTATTATAATAATTTTTATATTACTAACAGTGTTATAAAAAAAAATGATTTAGCTTAACTTGCATTATAATGTTAATTTCTGCTTGTTATTGTTATATTTAATTATTTATTTAACTTACAAAAAAAAAAAAAATTTAGATTTAATATTTAATAATCAGTATCCATAAAAAAATGTTTGAATTTTATAAATAAAAATATAATATAAAATAAATTTAATATGAAAATAATAACAAAATAAAATTAGTGGTAAAATGGATGCTTAAAAAATATAACGTGGATTTTTGTGAACAATTTATTTATTAATTATTGTATTTTAATAAAAACATTTTATCCTTTAGCATGCTCTTAAATTGGATATTTTTCTTTTTATATTTACATAATTAGAATTTCAAATTAATTTAAATTTATGATTGAAATTTTTACAGATACTGAAAATATTAGGTTTGTCTTTGCTGCAGTTAAAGACACTATACTACAATCCAATCTCAAAGAATACAACCTAGTGTAATGATGCAACACAACGTTAAGGCCCCATGTGTTAATATTTTTTACTATTTTAATGTTAAAATAATACAATTAGTATAAATCCTAACGTCAAAAGATACATTTTAAAATACACCCAGCAAAAAATAAAAAAATGAAAACTAATATTACATTTTTGTACAATAGTTTTAACCAAATATGTTTTCTCTCAAAATTTTATTTCTGTGAGTGTCAGTTTGTTAATGTTGGTATCGTGTGAGAGTCAGCAAAAACCCATCAAGATTTTGAAATCATAAAATTTAAAGGGTAACTTGAATTTTTTAAAAACAAATTTTTTACTAATGTAAAAATTTATTTAAAAAAATTATGATGAATACTTTTTATAAGAGCGCATTTTTATTATTATTTTTATTAAAGTTATAATTTTTTTTATTATTATTTAAAGAAAATTATATAATTAATCTCCTATATGTTCATCGCATTTAACCCTCATGTTATTATAATTATACATACTATATAATATTTAAATAATAAAATTAATTTTACAATGTGAAATATGTACATAAATTTAATGAAAATAAGAAATTATTAATATCAGAATATAAATTTTATAAGTGTAAATGAAGCAAAACTGTTGAAGGGCACTCTAAAATCCAAAAAGTAATTATTTTTCTGTTTGAAAAATGTTAAGTTATTATTTTATTTTAATATCATTGTTAAAATAAAATAAGGTGAAGGTTTGATTTGTGCAATTTTAATTATTAAAAAAATAATAATTTAAAAAAAAACCCTTAAAAATTTTGTTGAAAAGGGTAGTTCTAGTCACAGTCTTATGAAATTTATAAAAATTATAAGTTACCTGTGTACATTATTTTAAAAACAAATTGATTTTGATGTTTATAAATAAATTATTTATGGGCATAGCCTTTAAGAATATGCTCACCTCAATTTTGGTTCTGTATTCAATTAATATATTTTTAAGTCGTTGTTTGATTATTATTTCTTTTTATTAGTTATTAATTAATAATATAAAAATATATTTATAACAATATGTTGAGAGATGCCTTGTATTAACAAACATAAAACAATTAACAAAAATTAAATGGAGTTTACATACAATACATTTATATTAATATAATTTATTTAATGCTAACAATATCAAAAAAATTCATACATCCAAACTTCAATGTTTTATTATCAAATTAAACAAGGATCTCGATAACTGTTACATTGATATATTTGTATATACATTAAAGTGATCACGCCACCAATCATCTAACCAACTAATGTATTTATATTGAATAAATTTTATTTCTCTGTGTTGCTTTGTATAAAATTTTTATACTACTACAAGTGATTATTTTCAATACTTTTATACAGTTTATGAGATATAAAAATTCTTTACACTTAACTTTTTAGTTGGTAACCAAAATTTTTACATTAGACATTTTACAACTTGTAAATGCATTTTATTATTTATATTCTGATATTGAACTTTGGTTTTGTTTTAAATATTATTATCATTTATTTTATTTTTATTATAATTATTACATTTAAAATTTTTGTTTTATATTGTTTTTTTTAAATTGTCATTAATTTTATTATTATCAATTAAGAAATGCTGCCGATTTTTATTTTATAATTTTTATGAATCGGTTTTTCCGATTTTACTAGTGCAATTTGACTTTAAAAATTATTTGCAAAACATGATAATTATTTAAATAAAAGTACTTAGTCAAAGTGTTACCTGTTAGTTTACAGTACTAACAAAGTATATGTATATAAGAAAATATGTAATAACGAAATATATACATATTTATATACATTTTGTTTAATAACAATCAAATGTTGGATAAAAATTATTCCTTGAATTCATTATTTTGATACATATGTAAATAGTTTTTTTTGTGTGATGTCTAATGTGAATTTTTCAAAAAGAAAATATACAATTATATTGCTTTTTAAAAAAAACTTCTTATTTCTTCATATAACATGATATGTTTAAATTTAATTAAAAATAAAATCACAATTTAAGACTTAATTTTTCTATAATATTAATTTCCATTATAAAAACATCTAAAAAAGTGACCATTTGCCCCAAAAAGTGTCTCAATACTCCTTATAGAACACGTTAACCATATAAAATCAATTATGAATCAAATTAAAAAAATTTTGAGATATAATTTTCATAGAAAAATTCTAGATTTACTTTTGAACTAACTTAATATACTATACCCTTCCAAAAAAAAAACAGATCATTATAAATCCCAGTTTTATGTTGAATTATTATGGAATAGAGTATTTATAGTTATTTAGATAGCACAAAGTTACCTATTCTGATCAATAATTGTTTTACACTGATTTTTATTTAATATAACTTCAAAATATTATTAACTTCAAACACTTTTTTAAATTGTTTTAAAATTGCTCAATTTATTTCTCCATCATATAATTGATAATGTTGAAAATCAATGAATTCATCTTAATATAGTTTTGGTTTAATTAATAAAAATTTCATAAATTATACTGTTAATAGAAATGATAGCATTTTATGATAAAATAACAGCATGCCTGGTTAATAGAGCTGCAATGGATAGTAATTTGTACTAGTGATATTACTGGCATATCAGCTTGAAATTATTAAAAATTTGTCATGGTAATAAATAAAAACTTGTAACATGAAAAAATTAATTACTATATAATTTACATTACAAAAAAAAGTAAACAGACATTACATTTAAATAAATAGTTACAAATTTCAGTAATTTTCAAATTTTCCTTGGTGCTCAATATGATCATAGAAATATGCATTATAGTTCTTTATAGGATTTCCCATTATAGAATTAGTAGCAGTTTGAGCCACCATAGCTCCAACAATAGATGTAGCAGGACTTAATTCACAAAAAAGTTCACTAAAGAAATATAAAAAAATTGTTTTATCAATTCAAACTCTGATCATTTATATTATAATATTACGATTTACCCTACCTTAAATATTCATCTGAAATATCAACACCATTTAAAGAAGAAATAATTGATTTAAGTTTATCAATATCTTCTTCACTATCTTGAGGATTTGGTTTGCGGTCATATAAACAATGGAATAATAATAGTGCTGTATAATAATAATGAAATTTGAAATAAGTGTAATTTTTAGTATACAATAATAGAAAAAAAGTTTACCAGATGTTAAATAGTATGCTGCAGATCTTTTGCTCTCAATAACTGGACTTTTTGTTTTATAATTTGGAAAAATTGTGTCATAAGAAGACAGATTTAAACCACTACAAAGAAAGATTATTTAATAAATACTTCATAAAGTATAAATTAATGTTAAAAATACTTACACGTCTTGGAACATATAACCAAACAAACCATATACATCAGCAACAAATAGTTTAACATTTGCTTTTTTACAATGTTGATTAAGTTTTTCATAAGTTACTGGAGAACACTCTGTAGCAATCACTACATGAAACGATTTTACAAAATTTTCATCATTGTCGTCAATGGGAGAGGTATCAGCAGTAACAATAACATTTGGATTCAATTTTTGAGCTGCATTAACACTAGCTTTGGAACGCTAAAACAAAATTCTAATATCAAGTTTATTTTTATTAAGTACAGTTGAGAAATAACAAAGTTCTGATTAAATTTTTTGTTTTTTATGTTTAAATATATTATAATATCTTATAATTGAATCAACGTTATATAACATTTTAACATCTTTACAATTTTATGTTTAACATTAAAAGGATTGGAAACATAATTTACTACCATAATAGGAGCAAACTACTACTTTCTTTCTTACATACAATTATTTAAAAATAACGTCCGAAAAGAAATTATTTTTGTTTTAATAAGAACAGTTTTATATCATAAATTTACATTTATTGACATCATATATTTTTAGTTTTTGATTATCTTTTTATAAAAAAATTTGTTTGAAACATTATAATATTAATTTTTTCTTGCCCTAAAAAATAAACATACATTTCGTTCCTGGCTATCATGTCCAATAAGGAATTGTGAGCAAGTATCCAAAATTGATACATCTGTATGGTCTTTTAGTGTGATAGAATGAATACCGCTTAATATAAGGTTTTTCGCTATTTCAGCTCCCAGCCCTTGAAGTCCAATGAGCAAAACTTTTGCAGTTCTTAACCTAGAACATTAATTAATATTATTAAAAAATTAGTCCTAAAATATTTATTAAATACTCTTATAATTACTTTTTTTGTGCATCATATCCCCATAATCGAATTTGTCTGTCATAAACTTTACGTTCATCAGCAGTAAGTTGAACATCACCATTTTCTGCTGCCATTTTTACATATACTTTACTTAAAAATTTTCAAGAAACAATTTTTTTTCTTAATTATTGAATTCTTAAATTAAAGATAATAAAGTTTGACGATTACAAAAATGTTTAAAGCCCTTATACGTTTATACTTTATAGTTGGTTCACTATTATCTAGCAAGCTCTTAAGCAAACAGCGGCAAATTACAGGCGTTATCAAATATGGTATATAAACTTTAAAACCGAGCTGTATATTACCACAGACTATATAACTTTTCATATAGTTTGTGATATTACCATTTCGCACATAAAATAAAACCTTATAGAGATACGGACCTTCTCATTGGCTATACAAGCTATGTGATAACAATATTATATTTGGCGGTAGTTTTGAAATTTTTTGTATCCATTAATAGATAAATACTATAATAATCATATTGATATCGTTTTATTGGGAGGGAAAAGTTGTTTGTGATTACTTTCGTAATTTTAATTATTTTCATATATTTTATTTTAAATTTCAGTTACATTTTGAAAGTGTTTCTCAAACTTTTTTAAAATAATTTACCATTATCATTTAATTTAAATTTCACTCTTGTCATCTTTAATTTTAAGTACTACGCTAATTAAAGGTTATAATATACTTTCTTCACCTTTGTATACATATATACTAAATTATCTGTCTCAATATTTACCATTATTGAATTAAAGTAATTAAACATAATATAGTAAATATCAAATACTCACTATGCATTATTTAATATGATGTCCATAATATATCCATAATGTGTATAAAAATATTATTTAGATTTAATTATTATGAAAGGTACCATAAAAGTATTTTGACAATGTTTGATTGTTCGGTTCAAGAATATGTTAATACAAGAATTAATCCCACCTACAGAGCTCTTAATCTGGAACCTAGAACCTAGGCAGGAGTTATACGTGTGATTTTAATTACAAACTATACTAAATATACTGAAAATGGAATTTCAATATTTTATCAATGCAATCCTGTTGCAGTACTTATATTAATTCCAATTATGAAACTTGTCCTTTACCACTCTCAAAAGATATAGTTTTTGTAGACTAAACAAATTTCTGTGATCCTGAAAATCACTGCATTACTTTACTTTAAAGACCATATGTAGCAAACGTTGCTATAGGATAGTAAAAATATATAAATAAAAATCATCAAACTTCAATGATGCAAGAAAAATTTTATATACAGATGCTTTTGATGAAGCTCAAAGAGCATTTAGTTCTTCTTAAACCAGTGTATTATAAATGGCAAAAATACACGTTACAACTCGAAGGACAAGTAACGTTTCAGTTTAAATATTCAAAAAAAATGTCCTAATTATAGTTAAAGCCTACAATATAATTTCACTTATAGATTTTTGCTGTACAAAATTAGAAGAATTTTACAAAAAGAAGTTTCAAGAATTCTCAAATGATAAAAATGATACAGCATGTTTTAACTTTGAAAAAATTATTAAAAATGTGATAATGTTAATAAGAAAAAATAATTGAAGAAAACAGTACTATTATGTACCAAATAAAAGCAATAAACATATAATGTATTTTATAGAATCTAATATAAGAATATGTTCTCTGTTGAAAATCTGACCCTTTATAACCTACAGGGGAGGATTCAAAATTGGAACTTTTGCACAAAAATTTAACTTTTTCAACTTAAGTTTCGAAAATGTTCCTGTGGAATACTCTGAGCTTCAAACACATGTGAAAATGTACTATAAGTTCAAAAAATAAAATTTGTTCCGACGACTTGTCTTCTATGTGAAAATGGTTGCCATAGATAAAAACATGCAATTTTGATGTTAAAACTAACAATTTCATATTTTATTTTTTCAACTTTAAATTACTATAACTTTTTTAAAAATGTATGAGTCAATACAAATTTTTTTTTTCTAAATAAACTATATATGCCTTTCATCTGACATTCTTCAAATCGGACCATTGTCCTTTTTTACAAAACTGGTTAAGATTTTTAAACATACGAGCAAAAAGTAGAACTTCTTCAATTTAACTTTTGAAAATGTTCCGGAAATACTTCGAGTTTTAAATATATCTCAAATTAATGCTTACGATAAATACTATAAGTTAAAAAAAAAAATTGGTCACGACGATTTATCCTCTATGTGAAAATGGTTGTCGTAGTTAAAAAAAACATGCAATATAGGTATTAAAATTTACGATTTTGTATTTTATTTTTAGCTTCGATGAGAAGCTGAGAAGGTATTGGTTTTACTATGATGTGTGTTTTTTTGTGTCTGTTACCACTTTTTCTCAGCTCTCACCCAACTGAATTCTTTCAACGATACTTTAAAAAATCACAAATCATATGTAGTCGAAGACATTAGACTCAAAAATTGAAAAAATTTCCCTCGTTCCACGTAAATGGGGAAAATCTCCAAAAAAATTACAAATTTAAAAATCGCTAATTATTGACATTTTTTCAATTTTTTTTACTTAAAACTGCCATGGATCAATACAATTTTTTTATAAGAAATAATATTTATATCCCTCTTTCATTCGACATACTTTATCTTAATCAGTATATAAATAAGGAAATAGGGATCATGTAGCTTTTGGAATAATCCACCAATATTTAAAAATTTAACACTATCTAAAGATTTGCATCGAAGCGTTTTTTATAATAGTGATTTTAATCACTGTCAGATATCATTATACTTGACCCCTGTGTTGGGTTTTTAAACTTTAAATTATAATAAATTTTTGAAAAATGGATCAACACAATTTTTTTAATATATGTACTACTTTTATCCAACATACTTTTTTTAGCTTCGATGTGAAGCTGAGAAGTTATTAATTTTACTATGATGCGTTTTAGTTTCGATGCGACGCTAAAAACTAATACCTTCTCGTATTAGTTTTACTATGATTTTTTTTTTTGTGTCTGTTACCACTTTTTCTTAGCTCTCATCAAACCGATTTCTTTCATTGATCCGTTAAATGATCACAAATCGTATCTAGTCGAAGACATTACCCTCAAAAATTGCCATAGTTCTTTTAAAATGTCCAAATTAATAGTAACTTTTTCAACTTAACTTTTGAAAATGTTGCGGAAAGTTTGACACTTTTATATATATCTTAAATTAAAGCTAATGTAATATTCTTTATCATGGAAAAAAGAAATTTCGGGCTTTATTTTGTCTTCAAGGTAAAAATGGCTACCGAATGCTATTTTTGTGTGAATATTCTCGATTTTATATTTTACATTTTTAATTTTATTTTGATAAAACTTTTTGTAAAATGTATAGATCTATACAATTTTTTCATTAGAATAATATGTATATACCTCTTTCATTTGACATACTTTTTTTTAATTGGACCATTTCCCTTAATACAGGGGGGTTCAAAACTTAAAAATGCATATACAAGGTAGAACTTTTTTTAACTTAATTTTTAATGTGTTCGGGAAATACTGACACTTTTATATATATCTTAAATTAAAGCTTATGTAATATAATTTATTATGGAAAAAAAAAATTGCACTTTATTTTGTTATCATGGTGAAAATTGTGATTTTAATCACTGTCAGATATCATCTATACTGGACCCTACTATGCCACGTCCCCACTGTGCTGCGACTCCACTATGTTGGGTTTTTTTTTACTAGTAATGAAAATTAATACCTTATTATAATGTTTTATTAAGTCATATACTTTACCGTATACTGAAAATATAATTCTCGTATTTAATAGTTTTTATATAATATTTTTTTTCACAATTTTGTTACAAATATTTAGAACACTAAAATAACAAACAGATATAAATAATCAGATTTATTCATTTTTTATATTATTACATATTAATAATTAGATTCAGATTTATTATTTAAGGATTTTACCATTTTTTTTCTGTATTTGTTAAATTGTTGTCAAATAAAGTTAGACCAACAAGCGTTTCACTGTGGTACCATAAATGACCAGAAAAAGCTTTTACACCTACGTCTCTTATAATCTTATTAATTATACTGAAATCTTTAAGTTGAGTTAATAAATTTAGATCATTTCGAGGAGCAATAGCTGCACAACAACTTGTAAACCAAAAATGTATACATATATATATATTTAAAATAAATAAATTAAACTCTTGAATACCTTTAAGTTCGTCAGGTGTTATTTAATATTGGTCTTGTAACATATAATTTTTTAAGCAGTATATTATTTAGCCATCCATCTAACTTCATGATAAGCTCCAAGAGTTTTAAAACAAGTTTTCCCCAAGTGTTTCTTTCCAACACATAATAAACATAACTATTTGTAATCATCATGTGAATGATTAATTTTTAGTTACTTTTCTCAAAGTTTAATAATATTTTATACATTTGATTTGATTTTTTTAAACAATTCATGATCTGTAATCATAATACTATATGAATTTGTATTAACATAAATCCAATTACTTGAAAATCATTTAAATAAAACAATATCGGGTCAATAGGACGCCATATCAAAAACATATCGAATCTTATCAAAAACTCAACTAATAATTATTTCGTATGTGTTCCTGCATGCAAAATTCAGTAATTTCTTATCTAATTTATTCTCTATCAAAGTACACGCACCGTTTAACCTTCATCTGTTACGTAGTCCCTACACGATCAATAATATTGTCAATATTTGTATCAATAATATTGACGGAACCATATTGTAGCGAGCATTGATCGTTTAGAAGGATATTGATATGGATTTTCAATCATTGAGAGAGATTGATAGAAATTTTGATTGATGCTCATTGACGGGCAAAATTGACAGAACATATTGAACGTCTAGGATCGTGTATTGCATTTCCGAAATTGTTATTTATCAGTCAGGCATCACGACGGAACTATCGATACCACTAGGCGACGAATCGGTAGGTGAGCGTGAGTTTTTAACCCATTTGATAACTTTATATCGTAATCATCCTGGACCAAGTCGAGATGGCAGAAACCCAACCAGATACTATTACAGTTAATCTACTGTATCACTATTACGACAAAATTGTTTTTATCAGATAGTAGTAACAATTTCGCATCTCAATATACTATGAGGTTTAAAGAAATTCAATATTTCTTCTGACATGATTTTCCTATCACAAATTTTTATAGTGTCTTAGCTAATTGACACGTCTTTTATTTCTTTACCAGAATTTGTTAAAGTCGATGCTAAAATATATGTGGCATTTCAATTAGATACGTTAGTTCTATCAAGCGCCGATGTTAGCTGTGGTGTCATAATTTTTAAACATGCTTCACTTGTTGATTTTTCAACATCGCATTCAAATTTTGAGTGACTTGTATTATGAGAGCTATCGTCAGTACTTGATAGACTTTCTAATTTTTTTCGTGTGGGACGTTCAATTTCTTTAGATTCAATAATTTTGGATCATTATTTAAACGAGTATTTTTGGTTGGAATTTTTTTTAAAGATGGAATTACGGCCCTAGAATAATCCTTTTATTACGCTGAGCATCAAAGAAGTTCTTCTCTTCTTTTGATAAATCGGAATTTAATGCATTAGCGTGGCTAATATCGAATAAGCAGTTTAATGACTACAAATGCGGCTTCATTATTATTTTGAGTAGTACTAATCCTTATTTGATTTTTATTTACATTTATCCATTTAGTATGGAGTTTTTGTATTTGTGTAACTATGTGGCAAGTATGCTTTATTAAAATATTTATTTTGACCGTATTCCTATCAACTGTGTCGCACACATTGAAGCACTAACTGATAATGCCTTTTTGTTGACATTATGAAAATAAAGAAAATGACCAAGAACTTCACGTTTCGATGGAAGTCAATTACCAACGATTCTCTTAATTGGGGTTATAACAATCTGATAATGTTTTGACTTAGTACCGTCCATAATTACTAAAATGAAGTTATTTAAACTTTAGCCGTTATTAATTAATTAAGTAGGTTAAATTTACTATTAACACACTTTCAGCTTATAAATTATTGAACTATGTATTTTTATAAAATAATAAAATAAAGCTTACTTACTGCTACTTTGCCGTAGGCTAAAAAATATTTATGTTTGTGAATTCTAGATGAAATATAAGAGATACATTTGATTAAAATGTATAAAATGGTGATCTACAGGTACACAAAAACTTTTAAAAACATATGTAACTACTTGTGAACAATACATCAGACACTGCATCAATTTTATCATCAGAAAAAAGGGAACTTAATGTTTGATATCTACATTGTAAATTATAAATTTATGATTATTTAATTGATAAATAGCGTGTATAGTTATTTTTCTGACTTAATACCGCGTAACAATGATATATTTATTGATAAATATCAATAAATATAAAATCGAAACTTAGTTTAAAAAAAAACGTTAAAATAAGGTGTTCATTTTCATTATTAGTAAAAAAAATTATACACCATATAATAGACACAACAACCAACTTAACTATCAATTTTTCAAAACTTAAAAAAAATATTTAGCTCCTTCCAGATCGATCCAAAAAGTACCATATACTTAGACGTTTATGTAAATTACGTAATTAATATAGGTCTTAAAAATTAAAAAATTATAAAATCGTTATTTACGTTAAACATACAACATTTTACATATGCTGATGATTATAATTGACCAAAATTTTGAATTTTAATAATATTTTCTTATTGTTAAAAAATATGTAAAAGCGTTGAACGATCTGTAAAATTTTTTTATGAATCTCAAATTTTCAAAACGTTTTTTTTTTAACGCTTTCTGCGTCCTTCCCCCAAATCCGTCACAGCGGAAGAATGATAAAATGTTTATATTTTTATAATATTCATATATCCCAAGGATAAAATCATAATTTTCTTAATTACACTTTGAAATACTAATTGAACACCAACGTACCTCAATATATATAAAAACAGACATAATTTGTAGTTGATAACTTGGTTATTTGCTTCAGTCTAATTTTTAGTAAAAACTAGGACCGGCAAACCTGCACTCTTGCTACCCGAGCCTTATTTTGATCAAGCCAATTTCTTTTTAAATGCCGATTTATAACCTCTGAATAGACATCACTACGTAAATATTATTATGTGCCATTAGCTTATATTTTGTAACAGACTTTGATATTAATGTCACTTCATATTTAATTTTAATATTATTTAATTTTGAATTTGTCAATATTCATTATCACAAAAACTAAATCGAAGAATTTTTACCCTAATATTAATTATCTAACTTCTTAATCTCATTTATAACATTTGCTTTCAAATAAGTAAAATATTATTTAAAACCTTTTTTAGATCCTTCGCATTCCATTGATATGACTAACACCTTTACAAAAAAGGGTTTTTTTGCGGAAACACTCCATTACATACATTTATTAAGGCTAGAGATTGTTTAACTTTAAAATATTTTTGTAAATAATTAGTTAATTATTAATTAAAACTACTTAGGAGTTGTAAACAATATATAAACTTTTGAAGTCTTTCTTTTAATTTTTGGACTTAATCCAAGATTAAGTATATCATAAGCTTTTGATATACTATCTCCATATTGAAAAACAACTTATATGCTATTTTTTGAAACGAAATTCAAATTTTTCATTATAAATAAATAATTTGATTGTAATCTTGATTTTGTGAAAATATAAGTATAATTTATATACCTAAAAAAGAACATATATGTTTTATTATACAAATTTATATAAAAGGGTAAACTAAATGACGACAATGACGCTGTAGAGGATGATACATGTATATGTATTATTTTTATTTTAAAACGTAACCGCAAACGGGCGTTTATGCGATTCGTGAGCATCTGTGTGTAGTTTATATATATATATTTATTTATATATATACATATATGCATATATCGTTAAGTTGTTCCGTTTTTCTCCCTCCGTTTTTCGGATCTCCCACCCGCACGTTGTTCGAAGGAAACCGAAGAGGAAATGTCGCAATTTGCACAGCGATACACATTAAAAACAACAACAAATGGGTATTAGCCGACGAATGTGTGTCATAATGAACTAGTGTAGTTTGGTCGTGAGAGTGCCGGTGTAATATTGTACGGCGCGAGGTGTGCGCTAATGAAAATAATATAATTAGAATTACGGTTGTTTTGAAAAACGACATAGGAGCTGTTGTTCTGCTGCGATAAAACCTAACATAGTAAGTACCTTTACTATAATAACACGTTTCAGTATCTCTTTGACTGACGTAATCGCTATTATCAGTAATTTATGCATCAATATAATAACGATAATATCGTGCGTATGAAATATAAACGCGACGATATCACATGAAAATTATAGCTTTTCTACCGGTGCCTGGCACCGAATCATCTGAAATGACATCAAATTTTGTACTCCAATCATTGGAGTCTAATGTATATTATTATAAAAACGCATATTGTGCCCTTCTCTTTTGCTTAAGAATAGAGCATCATATTAAGTAAAGATAGTAAACGGGCATAAATGAAAGCATGATCCGAACTAAAGTAGACATGATTGTAGATTTAAACTACAAAATAGACTTGTCCCAATGGAACAAGTAAGTATTAAGTACTTAGTGATTACATGGCATATGCGTTTCACGCAAAAGTAACAAATTTTTTTTCTAAATATATAAATGACGCACAAACCGTGAAGAAATCAATACATCGGAATACTATAGAAATTACTATAAAATAACAATAAGTTAAATTAAGTACCCAGATTGCAGACGATAATATCGGTCAATATCGTTTGTATGTGACTAATTGTAAAATTATAAGTCAATGTATTTGTTTCAGTGGTGACGTCAGTTTAAAGTACATTTTGAACGTGATGACCAATCAAGGTAAGCAACATAATTATTTATGACCTACGATAACGCGTTCAAGACGCTACTGACAAATCAACAATCATTCGAAAGGTTCAACATTTATCATAATTTTTCTAGAGGAAAGAGTGGTACTTGCGACCAAATCCAAGAATGCCACTTGCACCGTACTTGTGGTCGAACGCCAAGTGGACAATAATAACGACCATTGTAAAGAAAATATCTACATCGCAGGTGGACAACACAGTGGCATAGTGGTTAATAAAGTTGGAAACTATAGTAAGTGTAACAGTTTAATTAAAAAATAATAATAATTGGTCGGTGTTGTTACATTTTCATTATCGTGTAAACGATCCTTCCAGTAAGCAGTGATGACACACCAGCAGATACTTCTGTACAATTTAGTGTATTCTTGGTCAATAAACAGACAGGAATGCACACCAAAGAAAGTCGAACCATTAAGTTCTGGTGTAAACCCGACCGAACGGAAGATGCGTCTACAATAGCTTCCAAATTTTTCCAGGACGTTATACTTCCTGACCAATTTCCATTAGGTAATTATTATGGGTTTATTCAAAATATTTCACGGTTTAATTAATTTTTTCTTTAATCGCAGATTATGTGGGTTTCGTCAAAAGAATTCTGACATTGATACATAAAGAGTACACAGATGTCGTCAAACTGGAAATTGAATTAAAACAATTGGGAGAAATAACACAAGTTCCATCGCGTCCAGGTAAGAAATTAATTTTTACTTTTTAATAAGTTGATAATTACTGATTTTTTAAATATTAAGTTTCCGCTGAACCGGAGTCGTCCAAAGTAGAAATAACTCCAACTAAACTTCGAGAACTAATTGAGTCGTCGTATCCTAATCCATTGACTATTGACGAGATATCAAAGTGAGTAAACCGTTGACAAATAACAAGATCAAATAAATAAATCAAGATGTCCACGAAAACGAAATTAAACATATTATTTATTGCTTTTATTACAGAAAAAAAGGATGGGATCGCATAGAAATACACGATATTATGGACGGGCTACAACGGGCTGGAATCGTAAAACTTGTAGACGGCGGTGCATATACAAGAGTCGTACTGCACGACAAGGTGCTGGGCTATTTTCCATATTAATTTATTACTATTGTTTATCGCTGTTAAATAACATACGTCTATGGTGTTTCAGATCGTGGAACAAATGCCGGTGTTCCAAAAAAACCGGCAGCCAACCGTAGCAATAATCACTGCAGAGTATTGCGAAAAAGTTGCTGTGGACGCGCTAATTGACAACAAAGAAACGTTTGTACGATACACCACAGTAGGTACGTCGATTAAAAACAATAAATTGTCATTACCCTTATCGTCGAGATTTTAAGACGTTCAATTGTTTGAAAATGGTCAGACATTTAATGCAATAATTTGACCTAATTTCGGTACATTTGTTGATAGGTTTGTTATAATTTTTTTCTTTTGCACTAGTTGTAGTCAAGGTCTTAACGATTGAAATATAGGTTCACATAAGTCATCAAGCGGTAGCAATTTTTAAAGTAAACATTGTAATATATTCTCGAGGATCCAATGTTGTATAAAAATTACTAATTAGATTCAAGGTCTGACGTGTGCCTTCAGTCATCCAGTACTTTTAGGAAAAAAAAATTATAATAACAATAATAACTGTTATTAATAGTAAAGCGGTAGCGATTATAGACAAAATTAAGTTTACATTTGTTCTTTTAATTATGACATGAGAGCTAAATTAAAAAAAATTAATACAGCATATAAAATATAAGGTAGTTTGATTAATGTCGAGGTTACCATAAAAGCTAACACTTGTGTATTGATAAATAACAGGTTTGTTCAGTGAAAACCTTTATTTAACTCGTAAACATATTTTTTTAATGAAAGTTGAACATTAGTCATCGTGAATAGAACACCACATAATTTTAATGGTTTTCATAAATGTAACAATAAAATAATGTTTTAATTTGATATGATAAAATTAAAAAAAAAAATTAAAATTTGATGACTTGTCCTTTTTTAATTGAACACCATTATTGTTTATATGATCATTTTTCATTAATTGTATTTATTTTTCAGTGGCGTAATTATGGTTTTGTTCGGATATACATAAAATAAATTTTTCACTGTCCCTTCCAAACGAAAAAAATCTTTATCATGTAAATGATTTTGTTTTGGTGGGTCTATTCCCATAATCCCATATAACTACGCCACTGTCAGGAAACAAATTGTTTAACCTACAAAACCCAGTTATATCAATTTATTTCAAAACTATTATCAAATTATATTAAATCTGTTTAAAAAGTTTAACAATACTCTGTTAAATCGTTCTAAATTTAATTACAAAAATTCGTTTTTTTTATTTTTAAATAACTTTTTGTAGAATGTTTTTCATGATTGTTACATTTATGTTTATTCTTTTTTTACAAAATTTCACTATAAGAAATATTAAAGTTTTATATATAATTAAAACCACGAAAAATGTCTACATTTAATACGTTAGTAATATATTGATAACCACCGTCGTTTAATTTTGTAAAAATATAGTACATGATTCATCATTTAACAGGAGAAACAGATACCAATACTTTTTTTCATATGTTTAGAAGCCATCTAAATTCTCTGACTTAAGGAACAAACATTTTTAGTAATTTTATTTTATGATACAAACTAGTGATTATATAATAAACATAGGTATACATTACATAAAATTGTAATTTATTGGTTAAAATATCGTCAATATTTTATTTATACTCGTAATTTGTACAAAATATTTTCTTTTCGCCCTAACAATTACATAATATCTAAATTTTTATTTTCATTCTTAAAACAGTGGGTTATCTAGGACAGGGCAAAAAGTCTTTTAGGAGATAAAATTGGCAAAAATAAAACTTTTAACAACTAAAAGTTTTTTGTGCCCTCTATTTAGAAAAATTTGGGATTAACAGTTTTAAGTGGATTAATTGACTTTTATAACTCCTTCCAGATATGTCTAGCTGTGTATATATATATATATATATATATAAATATATATAAACAAGATTATTTTTATAATTTATAGAATTCTGTAGTTTAAAATCATAAATAATTAATTGTACAAAAATTCATTTTAGATAGTAAATAATTTATAATACGTTTTAATAATTACATAAATAATTTTTTTGTAGGTAGGGTTCCTAAATATTTTAATTTTGGTAATAATTGTTTTAATTTATAAATGTTATTTTATAATGAAATATGTTTAGCTGTATAAATATATATATACATATAATGTATATAATATACAGAACCATTCATTTATTATATAACACTTGAATTATCAAAATATAAAAATAATATTGAGCATTTTTTGTTTGTTTATTTTAAGTACATGTTTTTCTCAATTTATTAATCATTAAATATTTTTATGTTGATCTCTTGTACCTTATAAGGGCGTCAATTACATTTTTGAAATGATAATATACATAATTAAGCAATTAAACAGATAATTTTTTAATTAAGAAATTATCGATAACAACTTTAAAAGTAATATTTGACCAGTATGATTGATAAGTTAAAAAAAAACATACAACTAAAAGAAACCAAAAGAAAAAAATTTCCAATATTTCTATTTTTCGACTTAGTGGTTCACGATAATCGAATTACTCTTTATACTTTAACGTATATTGAATATACATACACTACTAATTATATTTTATTTTTTTAACAGGAGAATCTAATGTATACACTTTAGGAAAAATGGGTAATCACAGTGTAGTGTGCACTAAATTACCAGCTTTGGGTTTAAGTAGACAGGCTACAACAGCTGCGGGAAATGCCATTACTCGCCTTCTAGGTAAACAAATAAGAAATAATATACTTACCAAGTTAATAACTGAATGAAATAAATAATAACAAATTAATTGTATTATTAATTACAACATAAAGCGTTTTTTAAAAAATATATAAATTAAATTATACATGTATAGGTCAACGATTTCTAAACATTATTTTAATATTTTTATGTTACACAAAATTATAACATAACCCTAAGTGACATAGAAATATCTCCGGGCTTGTTTAATTAGTATATTTTTTTCTTTAAATGGAAAAACTTGAAATTTTATGTAAAACCTTTACATTTAATTTATATATTATTATATAATTATTAAAAATTATCTCTATAAAAGTTAATTATTTTCTTATTTGTAATCAACATTTTGTCCACTTTTTTTTAACATTTTGGAAAACTAATTAATTCTATTTTTCAGGGACGTTTCAGAGAGTTGAGCATGTTTTTGTGTGCGGTGTTGGTGGTGGAGTGCCACATTTCACGGATTACGACAGACACGTTAAATTAGGAGACGTAGTTGTCTCTCATTTCGGAAATAATCAAAAGTACTGAAACGTAATTACATTTTTACAAGAATAATTGCATGACGAGATTTTTTTTGTTTCAGAGCGATCTATACATATTGTGAGAACGTAAATAACGAAAATGGTAACACAGAGTTTTTATGTCGTCAGTACTGTCCTCAGAGGTTGGACATACAAATTGCCGCCGTGAAGTTACAAAATGAGGTAATCAACTGGGCCGTGATATATAGAAGACACTATAAACTGTGTCTAAGGCCTACGAAAAATAAAGACTTGTGAATTTATTTAGAAAATTTGTTTTTTATTGCTTAACACCCTCGTTACAATTTTTATTTTAGCCTACGACAGTTTATTTTTTGAATTAGTGCCTAAGATCTATAAATAGCTTAATTCAGCCCTGGTTGACAACAGTTTATTTACTATATATATGTAATAAGTTAATTTAAAGTATTTTTGGAAGTTCTATTAATTCTAGATTTCAACAAGTTACATTTGTTTAAATTAAGAGGGTACTTTCTTAAATATCTAATTGCTGATATTTTATTTAATAATTTTATGATTTTAGTTGTAATTTCATTGTTAGGTAAAATCAGCTGAAAACAAACCAATGTGGGATATGTTTTTGAGTGAAGGATTAGATAGAATTAGTCAACAAAAACATGATGATAGTCATGCTACTAAGTATAATCGCCCACCAGAAGATTCTACTAAACTTCGTATGTGTGTAGGTGGCACAGACCTCATTGAAATAACTCATCCAATCCCAAAACAAAAGGAAAAGAATAAGTAGACATAAAAATGATTTTCTCTTTTAGTGTTTTAAGTTAATTCAAATACTATTTGCTAATTTAGGGGACCAAGACTTCACGTAGGACCCGTTGGTGGTGGATGTAGTGCAACATATAATGATTTTATAAGACAAAAATTTACAATGGAATATAAACTACTAGCTGTTGATTCGGAATTTGATTCTGTTATGGGATCCTTAATGGGTAATTATTGTCATTCATATGCAGTAGTTAGAGGAATTTCAGACTATAAAGATGGATCTATCAAAAATAAATGGCAACCATATGCGTCATTAGCTGCAGCATCTGTTATCAAATCAATATTATCTATTCTTAATACATAATTCATCTTGATTTCTTATATTTCAAGACACCAATGAAAATAATTTGAAAAAATTAATAAAGTACAAATTAATTTATTGTAATTGTACCTTAAATTGTTAAATAATTTCTAAAATGTATTTGATTTTGGTAACACGGGTATTTGTTCCAAATAGTAATTGAATGTTTACTATTAATTCAATATAACTTAGACTAGTCCATGATTTCAATGAATGTTATATTTTGCTCTAATTAATTAATAATTTTATATTATTTTGCATATTGTTTTTTGTTTAGTTAAAAAAATATACATTACAAAAAATAAATCTTGAGTTTCAGTATTTGTAATGTTAATTTCTTTTAAGTAACTAAATACTTATATCAGTTTGAGAATGACAATAGTAAAAATAAATAAAATTTAACTATTTGAAATAAAAATTCATTTTGTAATTTTTTTATTTAAATCATCAATTAATATTGAACAAGTCTATTTGTATCTACTTTATTGTTTAATCCCATTTTTTTGATATATCAGTATATTCACCATCTGGACTTTCATAGTTTTCAATTGGAGGAGTTTCTACAGGACCTTCTAAAGTGTAAGGTAACAAGGATTCATCTATTTGAATGGCAGCCTGATAAAGCTCTTCAGAGATTTCACGTAATTCATTTAATGCTCGCTGTTGTGAGTATTCTAAATCACTTAGAACTTGAAGATTAAAAATATGTTCATCATGCTTATATTTTGACCACATTTTTAATGTTCTTATTCGTTCTTCAAGTTTTTCATTGTTAATATCAATAGGCGGTCGTTGTCTATTCCCTATTTCATTATTAAGTGCTGCCATCAGTTGTATCTCATCAATAGGTTTTAATGTTTTTGAAACCTTAAATTTAAAAAGAATTTATACTCTAAAGTTAGTTAAAATTATTATTCTGTATGAGAGAGTCAATAACTGATACCTACAAAAATTAATTTTTTAGGAAAGTATTTAAAAAAATAAATATTAACCACAGACTTCAAAGAATTTCACAATACTGTATCTTTGATATCTGATTAACTAGTATAATTATACATTATTTAATTATACACAGAAATAACACCATTAAAAAATATTATGTATTAATACTACAGTCATAAGTATTAAAAATATAGATGTGAATTATAGTGTACAAATAATTAATTTGCAATTTAGATGAAAACATAAAGTAGAAAATAACGAATAATCACATTAATGCATACAATAGTTTTATGTCACTAATTTTATAATTAAATAAAATTGCATATTCTACGTAACTTCAAACTAATGCAAAATAAATATTTTTTTAAGCAAAAGGATTATTAAAATTAAAGCAACAAAATTTAAGAAAATTTTTAAGGAAAAATTGTCTAAAAAATTTTGTTTCAATATAGCTCAATTAGTGGCTGTAGAAACAGTGTTATTCATTAGTTTAGAATTAATTATTTTTAAAAATATTTTGGTATAATTGATATTTTTGAAATAAATAATTTTTGAATTAAAAATAAGTGCTCATCTTTTTGAAAACCGGTGAAATAAAGCAATTTTACAAGTTGTAGGAAAGGTTCTAGTACATATTTGGTTGAAAAATAATGTAAGGGATAAAATAAAATAAACGGAATTCAAACAAATATGTAGAGGATAAATGATTAGCGTCTTGACATAAATGTAAATTTATACTGTTAAGCTCATTGAATATTTCTATAAAAGAAATTTCTAATTTATTCATTAAATTAGATATATTGATATATCTTGGTTTTATATGTTATGCAAGGGTTCAATATATACACTATAAAAATGTAATCTAAAAGTATTAAATATATAGTAAAATAGGGTTACTTTGTACCTTAAATAAAACATTGTGCCAAAAAAAAAAGTAAATAATATAAAAGCTGTAGAAAGTAGACATCTTAGTTTTTAATTGCAAACTTATCACGCATTAAGCCTATCTTTATATCTAAAAATGTCTCTCCTAGTTACCAACTAATATACTAAACACTTACGTTTTAGCGCAATGTTATATATTTAAATTGCAACCCTGTTTTAATGTTATTACTCTATAATTACCTTCTCAAGTCTTTTTATAGCTTTTTCAACTTTTTTACGTTTTCTATCCTCTCGTGCTTTTAAAATTTGAGGATCCAAACGTTTTTTCTTTTTTAAAGGTTCAGCAAACATTGGTATGGATGCTCTAAAGAATAATGGACCATTACATGAGGAAATATTTCGCACTGTTCCCAGTACATTTTGATTTATTACTAAATTTGAAAATAATTTGAACATTTTCTTACGATAAAGCTAAAATATAAATATTTGACATTAGAAAATTTATTTATAAAAAAAAAATTAGGCTATCAATTCAATTGAAAAATGTTGTATTTCCTTTGAAAGAAAACTCTAAGAATTAAAATTACAAAGTTGTTGTATGTCTTAAAAAGATTAGCTGATAATTATAAAGAGTATATCTTTTATAACTCTATTTAACTAGAGTGCGCTTTAAGTAAGTTTTAATTTGAATTTAACCGCTAGGGCGGGGTCGCGCTGCATAACTTTAGTTTTCGCAGGTTACGTTGAATTTCTTGATGTAAATAAACATAACACCAAACAATACAAATGACAAATAGTGCGTTAATGATTCATTTTTATATTTTTGAAGTCGTGTAAATAAGTTTTTATATTATTGATTTAATAGTAGGTTAATAAATATATTTTAACTATCATTGGTACTTAGTTTTTATTTATTGCAGTACAAATGAACTTAATAGTCGTTAATCGAGTTTGAATCTCAGGTATTTATTTGGGCGTATACCGTTGAATATTTTATTTTATAGTCATGATTTTTTACTTATTGACTTGTGTAATTGATTAAATATTGTATTACTAATATTTAAAAATAAAATTTGCTTACTTTAAATTATTACAATTGTTCTTACTATTTTAAGTTTTTATCAGTATTAATCTGGTGATATTGAAGATCAACAGGTAGTCTTATGATGCTACAATGTCATTAATACGTTAGTAAGGTATTTTAATAATATTAAAAATTTGTGAAGTTTTTTAAACATGTTACAGCTTATTTTTTCTTGTTATTAAAATTGTTATTACGTGATTGTTTTTACATGGTGTTTTTTTAAGAATAAAATAAGAGAATATGACAAATTCCATGAACATTTTTTTATGTCATTTTACTACAGATCAGCTAACATAGAACTATAGTATTATTATCACTATATTAATATATCATTTTAATTTCAGAATATTGATTTTTTCATGCGTAATATACATATTCTTCAAACAAATACTATAAAAGGATAGATTTTATTTCTGTAAAATTTCTTTTGTAGATTTTTTAAAATTAAAACTTTTTATATATATTATACTAAACATAATATGTATGTTATATATAAAAATGTACAATAATAATGTATAATTAATGTACATTTTTTTCTTAGCATAATGTATTTTCATTTTTTTTTCTTAGATAATCAAAAATGATATCTGTGCTATTAATTTTATTCCTCAAGTTGTGTTTTGCACAAGATTACCCACCTTATACTCCAGATAATGATTATCTTAGAACAACAAAACTCCAAAATGAAAAAGGGTTAAATAGTTTATATGATTGGAAAAATAACTTTGATAATAATGTCATCATTCCAGATGCGTAAGTTAATATTATTTATCTTAGATGTAATGTTAAGTTTTTTTCTTTAATTTATTAAAAATATTTTTATAGGAACTATTTTATTGTGGCTAGTCGTATAGTAAGACCAGGTCAAGTTTATCGAGTTTCTGTTACAGTTTATAAAGCTAAACATCCAATATCAGTTAGAGCTTCAATTCAAAGAAATAGAGTTGAATTATCATCTGATATACGAATAATTAAAGAAGGAATCCAAGAAACATTATTATTATTGGTGAAAACACATTTTGATTTTAGATTTAGTTTGGTTCTTTCTTATTAAAAACTTATTATATCAAAACATTTTATTTTTGTTTTTAGGTTCCTACAACTAGTGTAACTGGTGAATACAAATTAAGAGTAGAAGGTTTATATGATGGTGTAGTTGGTGGGATAGCATTTTATAATGAAACAAAGTTAAATTTCTCTCAAAGATCTATGACTATTTTTATACAGACTGATAAACCAATATACAAACAATCTGAAATAGGTATGACAGAGTACTATTATTTAAAAATTATTTTTTGTTGTAACGTGACAAAAAGAGTACCTATTTTTTTGTATATATTAATATTGTAATTATTTTGGTTGAGCAAAATGCGTGCAAGATAGTCAGTTTTGTACTACTTAAACGCCATTTATTATTTTTTTGTGAGACCCTCAACATGGCAGGTGTGTTCTAATACCATATGTCATATTTATTAATTTTTTTGGGTTTATATATATTTTTTCTAATTAATTATATGTCTACAATTATTTCTATATTTAATTAATATTTACATGGTCAGTTATAAAAACATTTTTTTTTGTGATCGTTAATAGTTAGTAGTAGCTTAATTTAGTTTTGACATAAGATGGATTTACTAGTTTTTTTTATTCTTATTCAAAAAATATTAAGTTAACTTCAATGTTTAATTTAATATTTGTTTTAAATCCTACTGTGGCACAATAATATATTGTCTCCCCCAGTAGTGACTCTCGTTTTTATAATATTCATATTTGTTGTGGCTAAATTTTATTTTTTTATTATATTTGTGACCTTTTATTGTTAAAGGTTTTATTTTTAATATAATTAAATTTAATTATAATTATAGTAAATTTCCGAGCAATACCAATCAATACCGAGTTAAAAGCTTTTGATAATCCTGTTGATGTATATATCTTAGATCCTAATCGCCATATTATGAGAAGATGGTTATCAAGACAGGTAATATGGTATTTCTTATGATTTTTTAACTATAAGAATTAAAAATATATATTTTTAATCTATAGTCAAACTTTGGATGTGTAAGTTTGAACTATGAAATGTCTGATCAGCCTGTATTTGGAGAATGGACTATTCAAGTTGTAGCTCAAGGGCAAATAGAAGAAGCAACATTTTTGGTTGAAGAGTATTATCAAACAAGGTTTGAGGTAAGTTTGTGGTTGATTAAAAAAATATATAATTCTGAATTACTTTTAATTTTATAAAATATTGATTTTTTTAGGTTAATGTGACTATGGCTGCTTATTTTTTTGACTCTGATAAGTATCTAAGTGGTTATGTTATGGCCAATTATACTAATGGAGGTCCTGTTAAAGGAAATCTAACGCTCAAAGCTACAATTAGACCACTTAAAAATGGATTTAGAAACTATGATGGTCAAGTTATTGAAAAATATTTTAGTTTTGTATGTTATTAATTTTTTTAAAATAATTTTATACAATTTATAAAATATTTGTGATCAAATGTTAGGATGAGGAATATCCATTTTGGTTTCCCAAACAGTCTGAGTACACACAATTAAATCAAATACCTCATAAAGAATGGGTAAGTTTTATATAACTAATGTATTATATTTTACTTTTATTTAATTTATAAATATATTATATAAAATGTTGTCCTTAACTTATTCTATAAAAAAACAAAACCTATTATAGTGAGAACGTGGCATAGTTAAGACAAGTATAGGTGCTATCTAACAGTAATTAAAATCACTGTCATATAAAATAATTTGGTTCACATTTATAGATAGTGTTGTATTTTTAGAAAGAATTGTAGAATTATTCCAAGATCAACATGATCTCATATTTCCTAAATTATATCTTTATATATTAGATATAAGAAAACTAGTTTTATAATTTATAATTATATTACATGAATAAATATGTATTATAGTAATTAATATTTAATATATAAATTTATAAAGTGAAAAGTTATAAAGTTGTTATATACAATATGACCACTAGTTTTCTTTTAAAATAATAATTATATAAAGAAAATTCTTTTTGATATTTTTAATTTTATATATTTTTTGATTTATTAATTATCAAATATTTTTTAAATCATCCTTTTTGTTTTATAAGAGTATTACTTCATTTTTAAATGGCAGCATACATTTTTAAATAGTTAGTTGGTTGTTTTTAATAGGATTTTTCAAAATACTTTTTTAAAACTAGTTTTATGTGGTAAATAAGTTTAACAAGCTATAACATATATTCCCTGTGAGTATATTATATATCTAACAATTCATTATAGTTAAAAATTTTTTAAGAGTTCGTACAAAAAGTCCATTACTCCAAAAATAACTTAATAAAAAATTTTTTTATAAAGATATGACTTTTTCGAAATGATGATTCAATTAAATAAATTAGTGTTTAATAAAACTTTTTTTTTTGGAAGTTATAACTATTTTAAAAATAGAGTGAAGATAAAATTTGTGTTTTATTATAAGGCATCATTCTATTGTGCTCTTCCTCTACTCTATAATTAAAAATGTTAATAACTTTCAAAGTACTAGTTCAAAAAATGTTATCAAACAATCATTTTCTTAATTAGATCATTTTTTATTTTATAAACTGGATTAGTATCTATGTTGCCATTAAAAAAATAAAGTTGACTTCCTTATAAGGTAGAACGAATTTTAAAAAACCCAGCGCAGTGGGGTTGCAGCACAGTTAGGACATAGCATAGTTAGGTCCAGTATAAATGATATCTGACAGTGATTAAAATCACTATCATAAAAAATGCTTTGATGCAAATCTGTAGATAGTGTTTAATTTAAAAAAAATGGTGGATTATTCCAAAAGCAACATGATCTCCTATTTCCTTATTTATATCCTGATTAATAGTTCTTTAAATAGTTCATAATTGTAATATATGAATAAATATTTAGTATAACAATTAAATATAGTATGAAATTGATATTTAATTATTTAGTATTGTAATTTTTTACAAATATCCAATTTTTTTTATTAACTTTGATATCCGTTTTCACCATAAAAACAAAATGAAGTTCGAAATTTTTTTTTTCATATTAAATTATATTACATAAGCTTTAATTTAATAAATATATAAAAGTATCAGTATTTCCGGAATACCNAGATCATTTTTTATTTTATAAACTGGATTAGTATCTATGTTGCCATTAAAAAAATAAAGTTGACTTCCTTATAAGGTAGAACGAATTTTAAAAAACCCAGCGCAGTGGGGTTGCAGCACAGTTAGGACATAGCATAGTTAGGTCCAGTATAAATGATATCTGACAGTGATTAAAATCACTATCATAAAAAATGCTTTGATGCAAATCTGTAGATAGTGTTTAATTTAAAAAAAATGGTGGATTATTCCAAAAGCAACATGATCTCCTATTTCCTTATTTATATCCTGATTAATAGTTCTTTAAATAGTTCATAATTGTAATATATGAATAAATATTTAGTATAACAATTAAATATAGTATGAAATTGATATTTAATTATTTAGTATTGTAATTTTTTACAAATATCCAATTTTTTTTATTAACTTTGATATCCGTTTTCACCATAAAAACAAAATGAAGTTCGAAATTTTTTTTTTCATATTAAATTATATTACATAAGCTTTAATTTAATAAATATATGAAAGTATCAGTATTTCCGGAATACCTCAAAAGTTAAGTTGAAAAAGTTGTCATTTTGAATCCCCTCAGTGGGCTGTTTTATAGGGTCAGATTTATAAAAAAAATATACCGAATAATAGGTAAAGACATAATGCATCTATAAAAAAATTATATTAAGTAAAAAATAATTGAAAAGAATNAGCTGAATCAATACCTTAAATGAGAGCCTATATTATTTAAATTAAAAAATATGAAATGTAAATTAACGTTGATTCAACAAATTTTTAAATTTGTAATTTTTTTGGAGATTTTCCCCATTTACGGGGAACGAGGGAAATTTTTTCAATTTTTAAGAGTAATGTTTTTGACTACATATGATTTGTGATCTTTTGACGTATCATTGGAAGAAATCAGTCTGGCGAGAGCTGAGAAAAAATGGCAACAGACAAAAAAAAAAAAAATACACATAGTAAAAATAATACCTTATCAGCTTTGCATCGAAGCTAAAATACTTAATAATTGATAAATATATGTAACTATATATATATTAACTTGATTATTATGTTATAAAATATCGAGTGGCTATTAAAAGAATTACTATGTATTTCATTGCCTCAATTTTTAATAAGCCATTGGAAAGGGCAGACCCCTACCTTTTAATTACATATTGAATTAACATGAAAAGTTGCAAAAAGTCTCTCTGAAAATATTTATAATATTTATAATCATTTTTATAACTTTTTTTGTAAAATATATGAATTGTCAACAATTTTATTTGTTAAGTAAAAATATTTAATATTGTTTATTATTTGTGGTTTGGTGCTGTGGATCATTCACTCACCATCTTTGAGTTGACTTTCAGCTACACTGTTAGTTCCCGGATGGGTGTAATCATATAGGAACTTTAACATTGCCCTCTTATTAGCTTCCTCATTCATAATGAGGTTTAGTCAGGTTTTCAGTGGGTATGCAAATCATTGTTAAATAGAACCAACCTTAAATAGTTGGAATAAAGACTAAGGAAAAGATGAAGAATTTTTGTTTATCATTTATGAAATTTCTCGATAACTAAGAATAATTATAAGTATTTATTTACAGTTTTATGGTGTTTATAAATTCAGATATCCACTTAGTGAACTACAACAGTTAGTTCCTTCTTTAGAAGGAACAGAAGTAACTATCACAGCAACAGTTGGTGAAAGATACTTAAATGAAATTGTACAAGGATATTCTACAGCTCGATTTTTTAATTCTTCTGTTCGCATAGCCTTTTTAGGTGGATCACCACAAGTTTTTAAGCCAGCTATGCCATTTTCTGTTTATGTAATTTTTTTTATATATACATAATTGATGATAAATACTTTGGCCTTAATGAAATTATATTTTATGGTGTTAGATTACAGTTTCACATCATGATGGTTCACCATTAGATCATTATAGACTATTACTTGGTCGGTTAGATGTCAATGCTGAAGTAATAATGAAATCAGGTGGCCGTAGAAGTATTGAGCCAAGAGTAGTAAAAATGTCAATGGAACATGAAGGAGTCTATGAAATGAAATTATATTTACGAACAGAGTTGGGTAATTATTTTTCTATAATATTAAGTATCATTCAATTAAAAACAGTATATTAATTCTTATTTAAAACTCTAGAATACTATTTACTATAATGTCATCATGTTAAACTAAATGTATATTTTTATATTATATTTCCTATATTAAAATAATTATTCAATAAAAAAAAACTACTTTATTGAACTATAAATTATTTTTAGTAAAATGCTCAATAGATTTGTTTTAAATATTAAAAATGTAATATTGAATAGGTCTTGAAAATGATAAACGCGCTCCAGAAATATTAAAAGATATTGAATCAATGAAAATATTTGCTTCATTTAAAGATATGTTTGGTGAACGAACTACAGCTGATTTACTCTTATTTACACATTTTTCACCAAGTCAACATCAAATTAAAGTTTGGACTTCAACTAAAGATGCTAAAGTATTTTTCAATCATAGAATACTCAATATTAATTAAAATTAAATATTTTTGTGATTTTTAATATTTAGGTTGGACAATTTATAGTCTTTCATGTACAAAGCAATTATTTCTTGGAAGCATTTGACTATATTTTACTATCTAAAGGGATTATTTTAATTACTGGTCAAGAAAATACTCATGCTTCAACGATTAAAACATTTGCATTAACTTTATCAGCTGAAATGGCTCCTGCAGCTACAATTGTTGTATATCATGTTGGTAAATTTGGAGATGTTGTAGTTGACAGTTTGACTTTCCCTGTAAATGGAATATCTAGAAATAATGTCAGTTTTTTTAGTAATTTGAGTTAAGTTTTATATACATACATTTGCTAATTTTAACAAAGTTTATTTCCAATAGTTTACAGTTTTTATTAATAATCATAAAGCCCGTAGTGGTGAAAAAGTTGAAGTTGCAATTTATGGTGAACCTGGAGCATATGTTGGTTTATCAGGTCTAGATTATCCTTTTTACAGTCTACAGTCAGGAAATGAATTAACATATGCAAAAGTGAGTAATTTTATTTTATTTTACATAACATTGAGTAACTTTGATTTTGTAAGATTTTAACTAAAATGGAAAGATTTGACGAAGACACCAATGGTACTATTATGCACACATGGTTATCTCATGAAGGTGCACCAGATGAAATTGTTTATTTTCCATCATCTACCTTTGGTATTGATGCTAATCGTACATTTGAGTAAGTTTTTTAAAATTTATACAATTGTTTACATTTATAAAAATATAAATACAATTGGTTTCTATGATTAATTTAATTTTTAGGTTTGCTGGTGTGGTAGTTTTCACTGATGTTGTTTTACCTTTAAGGCCAACACTCTGTAATAGAACATTAGGTTATGCTGAATGTCTGAGTGGCCGATGTTACTTAGCTAACCGTAGATGTGATGGGCATTATGATTGTGATGATGGCACTGATGAGTCACTATGTAAGTAAATTTATTATTATTATTATCATTTTACTTGCTAAATACCTATATTTGCTCAAGTATTCAATCTATTGAAAACTAGTAAAAGCTATTAAATTTATTTATGTACTATCGTTATTCAGGATTATCATACTTTATTAATATTCTTTATTTTCTTTAGGTCCACTATACAATCGTACAGAATATAATAATTTTCGTAAATTCAGATATAATCATATTCAGAGGCATTATGATAACATTTGGATGTGGCAAGACATAAATATTGGCCCTCATGGACGATTTCTTTTTGATCTTGAGGTTCCTCATCGACCTGCTCATTGGATGATTACAGCTTTTAGTTTGAGTCCAACTAAAGGTTTTGGAATGATAAAGAAACCTATTGAAGTAAGCTCAACACCAAAGATATAATTGGAAGTTTAAAAAATCTGTAAAAAAAAATTATTTTTTTATAGTATGTTGGAGTATTACCTTTTTTTATGAATGTTGAAATGCCAACTCATTCTAAACAAGGAGAACAAATTGGTGTACGTGTTACTGTTTTCAACTATATGTGTAATAGTGTAGAAGCAACAGTTGTGTTATCTGGGTCAGACTCTTATAAATTTGTCCATGTTGAAGAAAATGGAATTGTATGAAATATTTAAACAATTTATTTTAAACTCTTTAATACAAAAAAATATATATTTTTTTTATATTCACAGGTTAATTCATATAATCCAAGAACATCACATGGTGATCACCAATTCTTCATTTATATTAAAGCTCAAGATGCCGAAACTGTTTATCTTCCTGTGGTTCCTACCAGACTTGGTGACATTAGTATTCATATTAAGGCTACAACTCTTGTTGCTAGTGATCAGGTTACAAGAATTTTACATGTAGATGTAAGTTTACAATGCTATTATATTTTCTAAATACTTTTAATATGCATAAAACTTCTTAAATGTTTGTTATAGTCTGATGGACTTCCTCAGTATAGACATCAATCTATGATACTTGATCTTAGTAACAGAGCTTATGTTTTCCAATATTTACATGTCAATGTTACAGAAACCCCCATAATTCCATATAGTATTGATCGTTACTACGTTAATGAATCAAATGTAGCTCACATTTCTTTAGTTGGAGATGTTGTTGGACCAGTTTTTCCCACCATGCCTGTGAATGCAACTTCATTATTAAATTTGCCGATGGTAATTTCTATTTTTATTTTTATTTATAAATTTGAATATTAGTTAAAACAAATTTTATATTTTATATTTATATAAATTATAATGTACTTATATTATACAGGATTCTGCTGAACAAACAATGTTTAGTTTTGCTGCAAATTTATATACAACAATTTATATGAGATATGTTAACCAACGTAATAGAACTTTAGAGAAACAGTCTTTCTATCATTTAAATATTGGATATCAAAGAATGTTATCATTTATGAATGTAGATGGATCATTTAGCTTATTTAGAACTGACTGGTAATTTGATTTATTAATGTTTATTTTCAGAAATTAATCTAATTTTAATTTTTAGGAATATGTCACATCCTAGTGTATGGTTAACTTCATATTGTGCTAGAGTATTTCAAGAAGCTAATTTCTATGAATGGGAAAATTTCATCTTTATTGACCCTCAAGTAATTTTTAAAATTACAAAAAAAAAAAAATTAAAGATTAACAATGCATATTGAGATTTAGTTATTTAATTTATTATTAAGACTTTGAAAAAATTGTTATCAACTAGTAAAGAATATTAATAACTTTTAGGTTATTTCAAAAGCATTAATGTGGGTATTAAAGCATCAAACTGATGAAGGCTCATTTTATGATGTATCATGGTTTCCAGACCGCAAAGTTAATAGTTCTATACATAGATCAATTTTATTTGGAACAAATAGACCACAACGTTTTTCAAATATATCATTGACTGCACAAGTTCTCATAACTTTATCAAGCGCTAAAGATTTATCAGGAGTAAGTTTCCATCACACTATACTTAGTTGAAAAACGAGGAAATCATCAAAGATAATTAATAAAAATTGTAATGATTATAAAAAATATTTTTTTAGTAATTATTTTTTTTTAATTTAGTAATAAATTATAATATATATATATATATATATATTAAATTTTCTTTGAAAAAATAGGAGAAAAGAGAAAGAAAGTAAACTTCTTAACAAAAGCTAAAATTTATGGTTAAATTATCATAAATAAATTTTATTTAAAATTTCTATCTTAAAAAAATTTAAATTAAATTGATAAATATTTTCACATGTAGCCCTTCATTAAAAGATAATGTACATTTGTAATTTGGTTTTTATTTTTTTTTATTAAATTTTAGGGATTAGGATCTAAGATAGCTCAAGGAGAAAGCCGAGCTGTGAAGTATTTAGAAAAAAATATGAACTTGTTGAATATGACAGGAGAACCATATGAAGTTGCTCTTGTTGCTTATGCTCTAATGTTAACTAAATCATCATTTGCGGAGTTTGCTTTTAGTTTGTTGGCTAGACATGCTAGGCGTGAAGGTGATTTTATTTGATTAAACAAAAATGTCTTATATAATTGTTTAAAAGTGTATGTTTTTAGGTGGTTTAATGTATTGGGGCAAAGAAGATATCCCACTTCCACCAACCAAAATGGAAAACCAAAAACCATTTTTACTACCGAGATTACCTTATAAATATGATGCTATAAATATTGAAACTACTGCTTATGCTTTACTTGTATATGTTGCTCGAAAAGAACCATTTGTGGATGATATTGTGAAGTGGTTAAATTCTCAAAGGCTTACTGATGGTGGCTGGGCATCAACACAAGACTCATCAATAGCAATGAAAGCCCTTATTGAGTATACTAACAGAAATAGGTTGAGAGAAGTTTTCACATTGACTGTTAGTATTGAAGCAACTGCTCTTCGCAATCAGACAAAAATATTACGTGTTAATAGTGAAAATATTGCTAATTTGCAAAGAATAGAGGTAGTAGCAATTAAAAAAATTAAAAAAGCGTTGTAAAAGTAAACTTTATCATTTTTTTTTAAGATTCCACATGCTTCTGGAACTGTTAAAGTGCAAGCTAGAGGTTCTGGTTATGCTATACTTCAAATGTCTGTTCGGTACAATGTAGATGTAGCCAAATTTCAAACCTCTCCTCCAGAACGTGCATTTGCATTAGTAACTCATGCTAATTTCCATGGGCGCAATCAGTCTCACATAACTTATCGAAGTTGTCAAAGGTGATTAACTATATAATATATGAATTAAATGTAGAAAAAGTTCTAAAATGTTCATAATCACAGTTGGACTTACCATGAAGAATCACCTAGATCAGGAATGGCTGTTCTAGATGTTACTATTCCAACAGGATATATTATTCAACAACAATATCTAGATGCATATGTACTGCAACGTACAGTTCCAAACTTACAAAGAGCAAGATTTTTCCCTGGAAAATTGTTGTTCTACTTTGATTATGTAGATATAAAACTTTATTTACTAATTTTATACTCGTTATATTCTTTTACATATAACATTAATCAATTTTTAACAGTTGGATGACACAGAAACATGCGTTAAGTTTACAATTGAAAGATGGTACCCTGTTGCAAACATGTCTCGTTATCTTTCTGTTCGTGTTTATGACTACTATGCACCTGGTTAGTATATATATATATATATTTATTTAGATATTTACTAATATTAAATTTAAAATTTATATTTTTCAGAACGATTTAATGAAACAATATTTGATTCTTTACCTACATACTTATTGAACATTTGTGAAGTGTGTGGTAGTAGTCAATGTCCTTACTGTCCAATATTTAATAGTGCTATAAATTTTTCAGCTTCATCTTTGCTAATATTAATTTTGATTGTTTTTATAAGTTTAATTTATAACAAACACCTTACATAACAGACTCATGATATTATAATCTTCCAAATAATAAATTATGCTACATACACTATGAACACTAATATTTAAATATTATATTATATTAGCATATGGCAATATAATATTTAAATGAAATCCGTATAGTGCCTTAGAGTAAAAAAAATGATGTTAAAAATGTTAACTTCTATTTAACTAAACTTACAAAGTGATATTAATTTAAAGTATCATTATATTAGAAAACAATAACATTTATAGTAGTATTTTTTTTAAAATTTTAAATTTAAACAAAATTCAACAAGTATAATTTTGATTTTTAATATTTTAATTAATTGATTCATTTTAATTTTGATGCAAATATTTTAATAATAATACAATAAAAGTTTAATTTCTATATATAATCAAATATGTAAAAAGTAAGTTTTGAAATTATAATAATGTTTTTACTAAAAAAACAATTCCCATAAATTTAGAGCATATTAACCAAAAATTATTTATTTTTATTTGTGTTCACTAATTTTCAATTATTTATTTGTTATTTTATTATAAACTAAGTTATAATCTCACATCTGTGAAAAATTCCATCCTTAATGATCTTAATAGAATTATAAAGTATTACATTTATATTATACTATTAGTATTAATATCATTTTTTACACATTACTTTATAATTTTAATTTTATATTACTAAAATATGTGTTTTATTAAAATATATTATTAGTCTTAATTTGACAATGAATCTCAAATAAGAAATTATGATGTTGGTATGTGTAATTGAAATGTGAAAAAACTTATGAACAAATGTTCCGTCCACATTGTATTTATTAATATTTTTACTTTATACTATTATATAGTTATTACTTTATATAGCACAATTAAGATATATATTTAAAGGAATGTATTTTTCCAAAAATAAAATTATTAACATGTGAAATGTGAAGAAATATTGCCGTCCATTTGTTAAATGTTTCTTATAAAACTATAGATTATATAGCTTAATTTTATTCTTTTGTATTATTTTTTTTTTTGATAATTTTTATATTGATGTAAATAAAAAGAAAACACGAACAAAATACTGTGTTGGTCATTTAACGACAGTTAGTATGATTTTCCTCCTGGATTTTGCCGCGTGACTAATTGTTAATATAAAGTGAAAATTATCACGTCACGACATGGTTAATTTGTAGTTGTCATGCCGTAGGTTTACATTGAATGTACACTGAGTATTTTAGTCTTCCGCAATGTTCCTGCAGTTAAGTTTATTTCTTATTTTTACACGCGTTTTAGTATCCACTGAAACAAGCCCAACTGACGGGCATTTGCTCGTGGAACATACAGTTACACATGAAAGTGCTGAAATAGCAATCCGAAACTTACAGCCTGATTTAAGTGAGACTACTAAATAAATTTTTTTTTAACTTTTTGAATTATTATTAAGTGTAAAATGTATTCAGTGATCGGTGCTGGTTGTAAAGAATGTACGAGGAGAGAAATTGAATATTGCTTTTCTAATGATGTAATCGAAGATCACTGTTGTTGCCAAAGAAAATATCATGGTAAATATAATCTTTATAGACCCGTAGCGGCATTTTTGTTTATAAATTTCTGAATGTTTAATCTATCTTATACTGACATAGTTTCTATTGCATTTCATTATTTAATATAATCTTTTTGTAGAAGTATTTCCTTATATCGCACACACTTGTTATGTGAGATCCAGAAATTGTGAGCCAACGGTTCGTGATTGCGGAGTATTTGATAGATTGTTAGCTTGTTGCTGTCATCAACATTTGGGTATAAAATGTATGTAAAGTTACACAATAAACAAATAATAATAACTGTTCAACAAGTAAATTTTTCTCTAGCATACATGCATAAAACTGTAAATAAAGATAACAGATCCCATTCAGTTAAACCAGGGTTTAGAATATTCATCTAAAAAACGAATGCAATAATGTTCACAATCTATAAAAAATTTGTATAAACAGTTATTAATCTTAACAGTATATAACTAATGGTAAATGCCATTAGTCGAGTTAAAGTCAAACATTTTTCTTCTTAGGTATTATCATAGAAAATAGATAAATACAATTTTTTTACATTTTGAGAAGATTAACCAGAAATTCTTCTTTTTTTAGTGATTCAAAATAATTGCTTAAATTTTTTATTAAACAACAAAATTCGTTTATTTATCGAAACTAAAAATGAATATATTTAAAAAATTATTATTTATCATATTTTTTAGAGTTACATTAAAATGAGAATATAAGATTTGGGTAACTGTAATTTCGTATGAATTATAATCGCATGCAACAAAAGTAGTATTAATTTGTGTTTTTTTATATTCTTTAAAAATTGTAATTATATTTATTCGTGCTAAACTATTTTTTTTTAATTAAATATTTTTTAGATAGAAATCAGTCATTGGCTGCCAACAATTCAACTAATATTGGAAACAAATTCAGTACACCATTAGCCTTATTGGGGTTTTATATTTTATTAAGAAGAAACAGTTATTTATTTTAACTTTGGTTATTGATTTTTTAAAAACTCTTTTTTATACATAATTAACCCTAAATGATCTAATATATGTAATAAAAATAGACAATTTTTTTTCTAAATATATTCATATATCTTGTTATGTGTTTAAATTCGTTAATGATGCTTTGTTTTATAAATGCATAGAACAACCAGAAGGGAATGTAATTTAAATTAACATTAACTCTTGCAGGAAATGACAAAAGCATGTTTAATTTCAAAACATTTAATTACTTTTGGACCAGTATTCCGAAAATTATTAACATTTTATTGTGATGACTAAAGGTAAGACACAGGTATTATTATTATTATCACTAGTAAATTCTAGCGATGGACATTTTCGAATATTTTAAACTATCGAATAACTATTCGAATTGTTTTTATACAACTGAAGTTTATTTTTAGCATAAACTATCGAATAATTTTTAATATTATTCGAATAAACTACTTAATGGTTTTAAAAAATATTCGATTAGTTCTACCTAAAATTTTTATTAAGTACACTTAATTATAATAAAAAAATAATTAACGAATACTTAAAATAAATTATTATACAATTAATAATAGTAAAAAGTATTATTTTATTTATTTTTAGTTTTTGAATCGTTGGTAAAAATGATAAATATGGATCAATTCATTATTAAATTCGTTTTAGGTTCATCCTTTATACCTTGTAAACGTATCAACTTTATTTTTTCAAATGGCAATATACATAATTAACTAACTTATAGGTTAGATAATAATAATATTAATAAAATGACTAATCGATAACAACTTTTGGACTAGTATTGATAGCATTTTAAAAAATGAAATGAGGTGAGTCGCAGGTATATATTAGGGTGGCTCTTATTTTATTAACTTTCATTGATCGATCTCCATACCCGCCAATTTTGTTTTTTATTATATGAAAGTTATTTGTATAAAATTTGATTTTTGATGATATACCCTCTTCAGGTTTGAATCAGAGTTGAAAATTCGCTCAAAAAGGTGATTTTTCAGTTTTTGATTATTATTTTTAAGACTAACACACTGCGTAACAATGTATAGAATATAAATTATAGATTTTAATAATTTATTTTAAAATGGTATTTACAAAAAATTTTTAAAATTATTTTTACTTGCTTAAAAAAATAAATAAAAAACATAATTTGCTAAAATTCATTAATTTAATATAAATCATTCTTAATTTTCGAAATAGTCATTTTACAACAAAATGTTTCGTAAAAAAAATTTATAAAGTTAAATTTTCTAAAATATTGGTCTTATGTAAAATTATAGTCAGATTTATAGTTTTGCTGTTTTAATAACACTAACGATCTAAATAGGATTGTTTAAAATTCTTTATTCAGGGTACTACGATTATAAATAGGATACAATTTATAATAAAATAAATTTTCAAATATTTTAATATTTTAACTATTCGAATTGTGTTTATACCACCGAATACTTTATTTCTAGCATTAACTATCAAATAGCTTCTAAAACTCTTTTAATATATTGTGTAACTATCGAATATTTTTTGAATGACTATCGAATAGTTCGATAATTACTATTCGATATCAATAGTAAATTCCCGTCCGTACTCTTCCTCCCGGCTAGTTCAAAATATCAGTAACTTCCAAAATACTTGCCCAAGAGTTGTTATCGATCAGTTGTTTTCTTAATCAGATAATTTTCTAATAAATAGGCTAGTTAATTATGTGTATTGCCGTTTGAAAAATCAAAGATGACACCCTAAGGTACAAAGGAAGAACATAAAGAATACTTCATAACTAATAAATTGAAAAAATATAAGGCGCGCGTACGACTCGGATAGAAATGAATTTTTTTTGTTAAAATCGTATTTATCACTACAGAAATATTGGTTGGAACAAATGAAGTAGGAAACGTACTTTCGAGGAATGAGATTACATGGGATAGTATTATATTGAAATTAACTAATGTTGAAATTAATTATCGAGGAAAATATTCTTTGGGAAAAGTATTATCATTTATCATATTATTAAGGAATATATTTCTTCAGAAAATTAGTACCACCTATTGTAATATTATAAAATATATCGGGGATAACATTGTTTGAGGAAGCATTTTCCGGTATTTTATTATCTTTCAATATATTACCAGAAAAAATACTTTCTAGGAGGAATTATCATTATAAAATCATTATATATATATAATCAAAAAAAATATGCACATAAAGTGTTCAAAAAATCAAATCTACCTTCTGACTATTCCGTTTTTTTCTGCCTTTGAGCCAAATGTAAACAACTATCCCTCAGTAGCTACCGTTCTTACATCAGTAACACTGAGCGTGCTTTCTCAATTTAGAGAATATATATAAAGCAACACTCACAAGTTCCTTCCGTAGTCCATCTTTTTGATGAGGTAACTAAATCGCCCTTAAACAGCACTAATCTCTTTTCTAAATTCTTCTATTCAGTTTTTAAACCAACATTTACTTCTCCCACCCCTATTACTACCCCTATATCTACCAAAAACTACCAATACAACCTTCCATCAAGCTGCTCTTTTTTATTATTTGACGTTCTTTCCGCTTTTGAAGCCTTAAAAAACAACCATTCAAATGGTTTACTTTATAGGTGTCGTAATTCCCTAGCATATTCACTTTTTATTCTCATACAACGTTCCTTAAACAAAGGAACTTTCCTTACTGTTTAGAAAACTTGCTCCATAACCCTAATTCTTAAATCTAGTGACCCATCCGATATTACAAACTATAGACCAATATCCATTCTGCCCCATATAACTAAAATGTTTGAATCTTTAGTTCTTTCCTCCATCAAGAGTAGTGCTAACCATATTCTCAGTGGCAGCCAACATGGCTTTCGTCCTGGTAAATGATCAGTTATAAGCAGCCTAGTTTATTCTACTTACATCCTGGATTACATTGAAACTGGCTCACAGGTTGATGTGATATTTGCTGATTTTAAAAAGGCCTTTGACTTGGTTGATCATGGTACCCTTATTAAAATACTAGATAATCTTGGTTTTGGCGACCCGCTTCTTTCGTAGTTGTCATCTTATATGAGCTCCAGAAGTCAGTTTGTCTCCATTGATGGTGTGCTTTCTGATATTTGTATTATACCTTCTGGCGTACCACAGGGTGGTCATCTCAGCCCTCTCTTGTTCACCCTCCTTATTAATTCCCTTCCTGATTTTCTGCTATACTCTAAAGTACTCCTTTTCGCCGACGACATCAAACTTTTTCTAAACATTAAGTCTCTATTCGACTGTTCACTCCTTGAATCAAACCTTGACACCTTCTCTAATTGGGCCAAAGAGCTCAAACTTTCCCTAAATACTAGTAAATATCATGTAATGTCATTTTCTCACAAACTTTCTCCTTTACATCACTCCTACTCCCTCGAAGGCTCAATTCTTAACCGTTTACCCATTATTAAAGATCTCAACATTTACTATTCCCCTTTCCTTTCCTTTAATTTCCACATAAATAACATCATTGGTAGAGCTCTACAAGTTCTAGGCTTTATTAAAAGAAACACTACTAACTTTTCCTCACCCTCCTGTCACCGTACCCTTTATGTGTCTCTGGTTCGGTCGATATTAGAATATGGCGTGGTAATATGGCATCTTTATCTTGCAAAAGATATTCTCCGAATAGAAAGAGTTCAGAATAAATTCCTTTCTTATGCTGCTTTTCTTTTAAAAATAATCCTCATGATTACTCCCCTATTCGCTTCGCTCTCCAACTTCCTTCTTTAGCCTCCCGCAGAGACGATGCCGACATTTTCTTTATAAAATCCCTCCTAAATGGTACTATTGATTCTCCTGATCTTCTTTCAAAAATATCCTTCCGTGTCCTTTCCCACAATACAAGAAATCACTTCCTTTTCCAGTTCCCCCATCATCCTACATCATACGGTCAAAACAACCCTCTTCATAGAAGAGTGATTAACGAGTTTTGTCCTGACCATATTATTTCTTAGTTATTAATTATTTGTTTCTGTTATCTTTTTTAATTTAATTTCTAATTGTTATCATTCATTATGTTGTTGTAAATATTTAATTTTAATGTACTTGAAATACTGTCTGTTTAAGCGTTGAAAAATAAAAATAAATAAATAATATTCCATTTTAATGTATTATGTTATTATTAAAACTGTAATTACAAATTACAGATTAATTGATTTTATTTATGTGTCATGTTATACATAAATAAAGAATTTTACGATTTATTATAAAAAACGGTAGCACAGTGGGGTCGAGGCACAGTGTAGACAAGGCATAGATGGGACAAGTATTGATGATATTTGACAGTGATTAAAATCACTATCATCAGAAACGCGTCGATGCAAATCTCTAGATAGTGTTTCATTTAGAGAAATTGGTGGATTATTCCAAAAGCAACATCAACTCTTATTTCTTTGATTATATCCTAATTAGTAGTTCTTTGATATTAAAATATAATGTATGAATAAATATTAATTATAATTATTAAATTTAGTATGAAATTGATATTCAATAATTTAATATTGTAATTTAAACGGAGAAATTATAAAAATAATAAAGAAGTTGTATTTTGCTTTATTTTTACGTGTATAAAAATTTAAAGGGCTTGATACAATAAATTTCAATAAAAACTGTTTGTTACTATAAATAAATGCACTGAACTACAAGGAACTTTCATCAGTAACAAAAATATACCATTCTAAATCAACTTTTCGCGATGTTTTCAAATCTGCAGTTAGACTTTTTCTATCACTTCTAAGTTTTAATATTATTAAAAATTAGTATTTACATATAAAAAATTCGCATCGAAGCTAAAAAATTGGCTATTTAAGCTAACTCAAATTTAAAAATTTCTTTTTCGACTTTAAAAAAGTAAAAAAAAATTATTAAGTTTAATTCCTTATGTCTTATGAACTTTATTCTATGTCAATTAAATTATATAATATTCATGAAAGTTAATATATTCTCCTAACAACATATTTTAAAATAAAATAAAGTACAAAACCTAGAATTTTAATAGAAAAATAGCATATTTTTGAATACGGTAGCCATTTGCGCATAGAAGATAGGTCGTCGGGACAAATTTTTTTTTTCATTTTATAGTACATAAAA